GGGGACCACTGCATCAAAACAATAACTGATGTTCATGAAGATGACTTAGAATTCTGTTCAGTGAGTGGAAGGCAGGCAGGAAAGTAGTCATTGAAGTTTAGATATATTTTCATTAGAATGATTAAAACTAGTTATGCTTACATGGATAAATTAAATAGTCTGGAAAAAATCAACTTAGGCAATCTTAATTCTTGAAAGATAAGCACTGCAGCACTTCACTGATAGGCTTTTTGAGGTGCAATCTGCCTATTGATACCTTTTTCTAGAACTGGATTGCATAGCATTCTAGGTTGGTTTCTGTTGACAAGTATAAATGAAATCTCTGCTGGGGAAAGCAGGCTTGGCATTTAATCCTGTTTTCATCACTTATTGGTATTGAGACCTTGTGCAAGTTCTCAGTTTTCCTGATTCTGTTTTACCGCCTGTAAAACAGTCATCATTGTTTCATCTTAGGATTTTTAAGATGAGAAGGTATGTGAAAACTCTTGGCATAGTGTCATTTTACCATTATTTTTCCCCCAGCTTTGATCCTGGTGGGCAACTTGCTGTGTGCCATTTGGCAATTAGTGATTCATCTTCTTGGCTGTCTCTCACCTAAACTTCTTTTCTGGCTTCTATTGGTGGGAGAGCTGTTGTGAGGTATACAGACCTTTGTAAATCCCTAGAGGTCATAGAGATATTCTTGCTTCTAAGAATAGAATAAAAAAGACTGTAGTTTAACCTGTTTCACAAGGCAGAAACAGTGGGGTTCCCATAAATTTTGTCTTTATACACATTTTATGTTAAACACACACACTTGTCTTGTGTGGGACTAAGTTAAGGTTGATTGGTGACTTGTCCCTGGTTCTCTTCATTAACAAATGGTCCTAATTCCAGGGTCCTGTGTGCTGTGTAGGCTTTTCTAGCTGAGGGAGATACGATCTGTTGAGTTCTCTAAGTTTAGCAAGGGTGTGGCTGGAGTTCAGTGTCTTTTGTCCTGTAACCTTTGGATTGCAGTGGCCTTGATCTGAAGAATTGTGGTTTGCCCTTAGCTAGATCAGGCACACCCCATTTAATACTTGGCTTTCCTGTACAGCAGTGTCTCTCAACTTCTTTGGATTCTTATCTTTAAAAGCAGACAACTTGGAAATGAGAATTCATTTGCTGTTCTGTGATTGTTCCTATGTCCTTCCCATCTCTGAGGTTTTGTTTATTGGCTGCCCAGTTCCGTATCGTGCTGTTCTCTGTTCAAACCTTATCAAAACAATCTTTAAAGGCTACTGATCCATTAAGACTCAGCTTTGACTTAACTACCATTAAGACTCAGCTTTGACTATAAGGCATTCTCCTTGGCCTTAAAGTAGTGTTTCTAACCAACCTATTACGCTACTTTAACTTTTTAGTCCCTATACCTTAAATACTTCTACCCAGATTTAGGAATTCCTAGTTTCAAACTTGCTTCTAACTTGCTATATGGCTTTCAGCAAGTAATTTAACCACATTGGGCCTACATTTACTTTAACCTGTATAGTTAGGATTGGATCAGAAATTTTTCAACCATTCTGTGGTATTATTGGGGAGATAGGGATGAGAATGACAAGAAAGCTCAGTGGGTAGGACCCCAGGCTCATTTAATCAAATGGTTCTATTTTTTTTTTTTTTAATATATTGAAGGATTTCACTATTAATAAGTTGGAAAAACCATTTCACTAGCTGGTCTTTGAGATTGCTTCTAGCTTTGGCTTGTCTATGAGCCTTGTTGGAGTAGTATCTATTTTTAGATTAGATGAGGACACCTCAGCTGTATCACAAGTATTGTTCCAGACTCATCAGGGTACTCTACATCATCCAGTCTGGTTCCTGATACTTTTGACCAAGGCTCTGACCTAATCATTCCAGTGCCCCATCCTTCTCCTTCTGCTCATATTGTTCCCAGCAGCACGTGGATTATTTGTAAGCCTCCCTTCCCCATTCAGTCCTACTCAGTCTTCAAGACTGGTGTTAATGTCCTGTGCCTTCAAGAAACCTTCCCCAGTTGGCCATTTTCCACTCTTATGGCTCAGTACACTTTGCTTTGCTTGGCAGTTTTATGTGTAAAGCTCAGAGAAGGGTGGCAGGATGCTGGTTTCTTCATTCTAAACCACTCCAATGCTTAGAATTGTACTGTTCTGAAAGTGCCATGAGTCCAAGTCATATGGCTTAAAAATTCTTTTTCTCTTTCAGGATCGAATCATCAATTTAGTTGTTGGCAGCTTAACATCCTTATTGATTCTCGTGAGTATCTTTATTTTATGCCTCACACAGGCTCTTAGCCAGTTTTGAAAACTTTAGTATTGTAGTCTAATTAACTCTCAAAATACTTAAAAAGGGTTAGGACATGAGTATGTGATGTATTTCACTCATAGTCAAATCAGTGCTTTCAATTTTATTACCACAAAACTGCAATTGGCAGCTGGAATAGCTAATGTGATTTTCACCCCTAATTGAATAAGTGAAATAGCACAAGTCAGACTACCTGGTTTTCAGATAACTTGAGTTTGCTGTGTTTGCCTGCCTAATTTACTAAATTTGAAGAATGTCATGGCTACCAGCAACTCCTTTCTGTTAAAACCCACCGTAACTCCCCATTTCTTTTAATACCTTATGTTCATTTTGAGCCTAAAGAATATCCTTTACCCTTTGGTCAGTTTTAAAAAGATTTCACCAGTGTACAACAATTTTTCATCCCTGTATAACATAGCTGGGTACTATCATAATAAAAAACTATATTTTCCATAATCTGATAACATTTTTCTGGTACATTTTCATGAAATTTGTTAAGAAAATTTTATAGTTTCTTCCATGGTTGCTTACTAAAAAGATTGTGTATAATGTTGTATCTGTGCAGAACTATATATTAGAAACCCATCTTTTAAGTATTTTTCATAATGGTAAAGCAAAACCAGCTTTGATTATATTCACTTTTGGTAGGAGTATTCAAAATGGTTAGAACTTGTTCCAGTATAGGGCCAGGGATGGTGGCTCACATCTGTAATCCCAGCAATTTGGAAGGCAGAGGCAGGATCACAGTGAGCTATGATGATGGCACTGCACTCTAGCCCAGGGTGACAGAGCAAGATCCTGTCTCACAAAAAACAACACACAACAAAAACCACAACTTTTTCCAATATAATCATTTATCCTATGAATGAGGTTTAAATGATTTTTAATCTTTATTAATGAAGTTATTTTGAGATTAGCTAGTTCTTAGCTAGTTTTTCTGATACTTTGTCTCTTACATGAGGGAAAAGTTAGTAGAGAAGTAGTACTGAAAATAACTCCAACATGTAACTATTAACATTCCAGAAAACACACCTGGTGATAGATATAATTCTATAGTGTGAAGAAGCATTTTGTAGTATCACATTGCCTAGACTGTAGTCTAACAAAGTCTTGGAATTACTCTTAAGGCCTTACATAATTTCTCTTCATTCAGGTAACGCTGATCAGTGCTTTTGTTTTTCCTCAACTACCTCCAAAACCACTGAATATATTTTTTGCCGTCTGCATCTCTTTGAGTAGTATTACTGCCTGCATACTTGTGAGTACTGTTTAGAATTTAAATGTTCTTGAGGGCTTAATGTTGCAGTGCTTAGGACAGAGATTTTCTGGGTCTATATAAAATGTTATCTCTAATCACACCCCCCCATGTCAGAATTCTCAGTGTTAATTGCACATTTTTTTGGAAATCTGTTTTTTTCCCTCAATCCCAATGTTGTAACCCTAAAGGAAAACTGTGCCTTTAATAGTTTAAAAAAAAAAAAAAATGGGAGAAAACATTAGTGGAAAGACTTCAGGTAGCCAAAGATTTACTTAATTCATCTTCACCCAAGAACTATATACAGGGCCCAACAGGCACAGTAAAAGAAACAATGATAGTGGTGGCTCCTCAGTGTTCAGTTGTTCATTAGTTGGCTGTTTCATGTCCCTCAAGAAGCAGAATCAAAACAATAAACCCTTAAAAACATTTATTTTTACTTACATAGGGCTTAAATCATGATAGTAATTTGCTTCTTTGAGTTAAAATTAAACCAGGAGAGAGATCTCAAGGTTGTCATTGACTGATCTGCTATACTTCTGTGACCTGAAGAAAACTGGCCCATCTCACTTTGGCAGCCTTCCTGGCCCTGCAGCCTAAAGTGACTAACAATGAGCTAGTTTAATCCAAATATATACATTGTGGAAGCCCAATTTTGTAATGGGATCTAATTCAATTATGTGAATTTAAAAGTTGTCCTCCCTTCCACTACATAGAAGAGTTACACCTTTTACTTAAATAAATTTAAACTTATCCAGGTATATGTTCATGGATAGCCTGCCAAATGATTGGTGGACTACACAGATTTGAACATAGAAGTAAACTGAGGAAGTAGAAATAAGTATAAACTTGGATTTGGAAACTCAGATGGTACTACTTAAAGAATAGGAATTAAATTCTGGTTGCATTGATATGGAGGACTGTCTCATTTAGGTTAATAAATACTGATGGAATCGATGGTTTAAAAATAATTAGTCATATATTAAAATTTTAATAGTTGGCCCAGTGGGGATTAAATTTTATTTCTTCTTCTTTTATAGATCTACTGGTATCGACAAGGAGACTTAGAACCAAAATTTAGAAAGCTAATTTACTATATCATATTTTGTATCATCATGTTATGTATATGTGCAAACCTGTACTTCCATGATGTGGGAAGGTGAGCCTACCAAGGGGAAATACTTAACCAGGACTCTTCAAAATGACATATTAGAACAGTGACTAATTGTTGGATAAGGTTTGCTGAAGAATCTCCTGCAGAAGTCTGATACATGATTTTCATGTTAATTGTAAATCCAAATTCCCTCTTGCAAGGGAGATACATAGATCACTTTGCTTTTTTTTTAAGGAGCTGATGCTTCACTTAAACATTCCAACTTTCACTTTTGAAATTAAAATTTTTTATAATGTTATTGCATGGCAAAAGGCTATGTAACAAACAATCTTGCATTTTAAGACAAATATTCTTTTATTTCTGTTAAACTGAATATACAATTGTTCCCTAGGCAACCAACTTTTGCTTATAACTACAGTTTCACTTTAACAAAACAGACAGTGAAGACAACTTTGATTGTGAAGATCTAATTACAATAATAAATAAAATAATTTATACAAGGGTTTTTTTGTGACTTTTCTCTAGGGGTCATGTTCATTAAAAGCCCTATTGGCTAGTTTTGGCTTAACCCTTCTCTAGTATAGGAATGACTCTTGATTTGTTTCCTTTTGTTACAGAACCAAATTTTGTTTTGTTTTTTAAAATTGCCTGAGAGGAAGAAGGTATATTGTACCCCACCAGCTAATGTACTAAGTGAATGGCAAATTCTAATATCCCCAACTTTTTTCTGGGTAATTATATATACTATTTAATTTACTTCAAAGTGCTAACTTTGTAAACTAATGACAGTGGTTTCTGAAGGGGGAAAACTGCTTAGCTTTTGGTGGGTTTTGTTACTATGCTTATCCATATTCCCTTTAAAGTGATTAAAAAAAAAAAAAAAACCTGTAGTGAATGTTAACGCTTTTAATGCTTTCCTCTTTACCCTGACTAAATCAGCTCCCACTGCCAGCAATGGGTTAACCAGAAATAACCACCATATCCTAGGTCTATGTACTTGTGTGCTGGTCAGGTCTCAAAGTGATGATATTTAATCTTTTTGAAGGAGGTCACTGATAAACTGTAGACCATGTTGATATGACTTCTCTGAAATACCACCTGGCCTACTTGAGTCTGACCTTTAGAGATGAATAGTACTGTCTGTAAACCAGAGCAGTTAAACTGTGATTTTAAACGTTGCTCAGTATTTGAAGTGAATGACATTCCTACCAACAAAATAACACTAAACATAGGGATCTATGCAGTTAAAACTCCCATATTCCATTTAACTACACACTGTCATAAAACTGGACCTCAAATGATGTATTCAAAGGAGGTAAAAAGTCATAGCAGCAACAATTTGTGTGGCTTAAGCACTGTAGCTATTTAAAATGGTAAATTTAACCCTCTTGGGGAGAGTTGCTCCTATTTCCTTAGAGATGTTGTAATTAACAGTGTGGCTTCTTTACTTGAACTGCCTATTTCTAAGAATTACCTAATGACAGTTTACCAAATCCTCAACATCCTTTGAGTCTTCTGAAACAGGACTGCCCAAAGATGATCCAATGATATTTGATTCTTCCTGATGATGTTGGAGTATGGGATCTGAAACAGTTTCAAGTTAGTCTTAAATGTATATATTTATTCTTTAAATCACGTCAAGAATTTAAAGTATTCTACCTAAATGTAAGAATACCAATATCTTTATCGTTGGATCAAGAAAGACTAAAATAGCTGAGTATCTGCTTAATTTTTCCCCCATAAGATTTGTCAAGCACATGGGAGTTGTATTACAGTACCTGTTAGTGTTGTCAAAGGCAAGACAGATTCAGTATCTATAACATCAGATGCCTGGATAAAGCCATGTGGTGAAGGAACGATAAGTATTGTTTCATCATCAATTGTTTCATCAACTTGTTCTTCTATAGTAGGAGATCCTAAATCCTAAATAATATTAAAGAAAAAAGATGAGGGCTGGGCATGGTGGCTCACACCTATAGTCCCAGCTACTCAGGAGGCTGAGGCAGGAGGATTGCTTGGGCCCAGGAGTTTGAGGCTGCAGCGAACTATGATGACATCACTGCGCTCTAGCGAGGGCAACAAAATGAACTCTTGTCTCAAAAAAAAGATTGTGACTCATGTCCGTTATTAGATTTCCTTAAGATCCCAAGAACATATAGGTTGGATAGGACTGACTTAACTTTCAAACATATTCCATTTTAAATTTAGAACATAAATGAAAAATTAAGGTCTTCAAAAACGGACAAAAGTTAACTTTAATGATCTAATGTTCTAGGTATTAAAAAGGAACTTAGAAGAATTCAGTTATAGGTCACCTGAATATAGAAGACTTATAGGTTGCATTGTGGGATGAGGTTCCTAAGTTGAACCGTGGAGATCTATTACTAAACACTCAGGAAAATGCTTCTATGGGTTTTAACAAACATTTCTCAATCTATTGCAGGTGGAAAGGGAAAAGTTTTAGTGAGGAACTGTGGTAAGACAGAACATAGTTTTCTTATTCCCCCAGCTGCCTCAAGATCTCTTTGCCCACTTGTGTCAGCAACAACACTGTTGGTTCACTGATACTCGTGAGGCCAGAGGTGTAGGGATTTGTACTTTATTTTGTGAGACTAAAGAAAAAAGGAAGGTACCAGAGAATATTCTTTTAAATTATTTCTAAGCTGTTTCCAAACTAAACTGCAGGTTTGAAACTCAAGGCAAGAACCCATTCAGTTCTCTTAAGTGCAGCTTACCTCAGTAACATAAGCACTGGCTAAATCAGGGGGCGATTCCTCCTCTTCTTTGAGGTCGGTGTCGGAGATTTCTTCTGTTCTGACCATAACACTATTCATTAGTTCTGTGCTATTTTGGTCACTGAATTTGGATACATGAGCATCATTAAATGATGACTCCACAGTCATCTTAGGCTGATGAATTTCATCTGGGAAGGTGTCTGCTTCTAGGGCATCTGGAGGCTCAGGAAAATCAGATGATTGAATATCACTATCTACTGTCAGTTCTGCTTGGGATATGGAAGAAGTAATGTCCTCTGTGGCAACAGTCTGAATGATGACTCTTGGTGTGTGACACTGCACTGTGACATTGTCACTTGTGTTCAACAAATGTTCTGGCTACAAAATATTTAAAAAAAATTATCAATGACAAATGAGAAAGTACCTATTAAAGGTATACAACAAATGACATAAATTTATAGGTGATACCCTGTCCCCTACCATACCTCTCACTTCTGGAGTTGGAATGTTATTACTGTTTTCCTAGAACCCCCATTCTTTGCCTGCTGGGCCCTTGCTCTCCTAATATACCTATTCTAATGTGCATCCATCTCACGTAAGGGGATGTGTGTGAGATATAGCCCGGCGAAGACACAGTGACGGTACAAAACATTGTGCTTGGGACAATAGGAATACTAAAAATTATTTAGACAACTGGACTACCTCATAGTTTGGTGCTTATCTTTGTATCAACTAATCCTAGTACACAACAGGTACCCAAAAATCAAGTAATTTATGTAACGTACGGATAAAGCGTGAACAATAATCTGTTCAGGAGAAGCAGGCGCAGCGGCTGTCAGGGTTACTGTGGGACTAGCAGTCAGAGTTAGGGGAAGGCCTTGGCTTGAGCTTGTTTGAAGTAGATAGGTGCCTGGAGTGCCAGTAGGCTGTAAATGGAAAGACTAAAAGAAAAAAGAGGTCAACAGACTATGATTAGTCTACTTTTATACCCCAAACAGGGACTTGCTTTAGTTTTACTAGCCACAAATGTACTTACCAATTGTGAAGTTATGAACAGGTAATAAAATGAAGGATATCCTATTCTTTACTATTTATCTGTCTCAAGTCATTAAGCAGCCTGGAGGTTTAAGAGGCAAGACGTTTATTGTGCTCTTTGCTCCTGTGTATTCCTATGGTCTGGTCTCTTGGTGTTTCAGGGCACCAAGACACCGCTGTATGAACACTGTTCTCAGTGCAGTAACCCAGCACAACCAATCGTCCCTCTTTATCCTTTCTCTGTGGCACGTAAAAACTTGCAATCTCTCAAGTTAAAAAAAAAAAAAGACAAAACTTCGTATTTTTGAAAAGGCAATAATAGCAGTGTTTACTTGAATGCATTTTTTATATTAAGGAAAAATATAGAGGAATAGCAATTAGCAATGTTCTGAAGAAACATTTGAAAAGCTGGCTAATAATACATTTATCTTTTGAGATCTTTAAAGGAAGTATAACAGATTTACTAATAAACCTTTCACAACTGTATGCTTCTATATAAAAATCTGAGTTAGGTTTATCCTGATACCCTAGCAGGAAAAGTACTTAAGATAGGTCTTAGGAGTTAAAATCACATAGCCAGTTTTTTAGTCCAATGTAGTCTTATGGACTTAGGCAAAACAACTCTCCTGTGTACACTGAATCCCCTAAATATAGGTTTCATTATTGCTTAAGTGAGGATAATAATTACCTCTCATGGAAAGGGTTGTTACAATTAGAAATGATTATAAAGTGCCTAGCACTCAACAGGGGGACTCAATTTCCTTCCTTTCCATAAAAGTGAAAGCTAATCATTTTCCTAAAGGTTGCATGTAATCACATATGCTCAGGCATTACTGTAAATACTTTTTATGTACATTTTATTTAACATAAATACATTTAATTCTCACAATTTTTTGAAGTTGAGGTACTATCATCATCTCCTATTAATAAATTGAAAAGTTTCTCAGTATTTTATAGTGACCTCATAAATAAAAATGTGAACATATACCCCAAATGTAAGTGTACAGATATTTGTTTACTGGGGAAGAAGAGTTTAAAAAAAGGAAGTTCTGTTTTCTACCTGTGTCAAATGGTTGTCTTATACATTCCCATTTAGGAAACTATTGGATTAGGAAAATGAAGCTTAGGTTAAATAAGTTGCCAGTAGAATTTCCAAAAACGGAAAGAAAACCATTTGCTGCCTTGGCCATCCTCCTGAGATTTGGTTGGGGGAGGATGAATAAAGTTTTGCACTAATATCCCTATGTTCTTCACTATAAATAAATCTTGACAAAATTTAAATTTGCTTTATATTTTCTTAATATGAAATATGAACTAATTCTAGGTTTACTTGTTTTAGAAAGCAGGATATCAATAGTCATGTCCATTTTCCTACAGCCATAGGCAAATTAATTAATCTTCTGTATACACAGATTTGCCTATTTTGGACATTTCAAATAAATGAGAGCCATATACTATGTGGTATTTTGTGCTGTCTGGTTTCTAAGGTTCATCCATGTTTTAACAGGCGTCCTCAAACTATGGCCTGTGGGCCACATGTGGGTGTTTTTGCCTGTTTGTTTTTTTATTTCAAAATAAGGAATGTGTAGTGTGCATAGGAATTTGTTCATTGTTTTTTTCAAACTATAGTCCGGCCCTCCAACGGTCTGAGGGACAGTGAACTGGCCCCCTGTTTAAAAAGTTTGAGGACCCCTGTTGTAGCATGTATCAGTATTTCATTCCTTTTTATTACTGAATATTTGTATGGCAGTAGCACATTTTACTTACCCATTTTTCAGTTGACAGACATTTGGTTTTCCATTTTTTGGTTGTTATGAATAACGCAATACTATGAACATTCATGTACAAGTTTTTATTGGACACATGTTTTCCTTTTTCTTAGATATATCTGGGATTAGAATAGGTGGATCATGTCGTCTGTGTCTAACCTTTTTAGGAACTATAAGACTTTTTCAAAGCAGCTAAACCATTTAGCACTGGGACTTTTAAATTTTGTATCCCCAGTGGCTTCTACAGTATTTAGTGAATGAATATTGTTAAATAGCTCATGATTAGTTTGTCTACAAACTTTTCCTCAAATAACTAATATGAACTTTTTGGTTATAAATTTATGACTCAGTATAAATCTACAGTATGTACTCATTAGCACTGTCATTTTCATATATATAAAGAACATACTGGTTTATATATAAATAAAAAAATAGATTAAAATTATAAAAGTAGAAGTCTGATTTATGTCTAATCTACCATCCATCTAGTCTCAGACTTTTATATTTCATCTGCTTATATGATAACATTTCCAAAGATAATACCAACTAATCTTTCTTATGCATAAAAATGGCTAATATCTATTTTATGAAGTATTACTCACTGGGAGAATCTCAAATGTCTGTAGTGTTCCACTGTTTAGTGTTATTGTTTCCGAGTCAACAGTAGTAGCAGGGGAATCTGTTGAAGCTGTGATTAAGAACAAGGACAATAATAAATAAAATGCTTTGTAAATTTAAATTTTTCCAGTGTACTCAATTATCATAAAGGCAATTTCATAATAATTTGCCTGGAGACTTGAAGTCACTTAAATTTCTCACAAGATATAAGAAATCTAATGGATTTGTCTGAGATGGCATACAGACAGGGATTGGCTTACTGTGACCCACAGCCAAATCCAGACTGCTGCTAACTTTTGTAAATAAAGTATTACTGGAACACAACCATGCTCGTTGTTTACGTATTTTCTATGCTTGCTTTCACACTACAACAGAGTTGAGAACCTGTGACATACTAAAGGGCCCATAATGCCTAAAATACTACCTGTCCCTTTATAGAAAAGGTTTGCTAACCCCTGGTATATATCATAAAATGTTTCTAATGTAAGGAAGTACAGAACACACTAAGGCCAACCTGCAAAGAGAGGAATTTGGTAAAAACTAATATCTTGAACATTGTGGTAAGCCGTATAGGTATCTGAATTGGTAGTCTCCAAACACTAGGCTTTCATTTAGCAACATCACTTGGGTAGCAATGTTAAACCTGGGCAAATAACTTTGATCTAAACTAATGTTCAGAGATTTTTATGTGTTCTGCTTAACTCAAATAGTTGTTGTGAGGATCAAAACTGCTCTTAAAACCAAGATATAAATTTAAGACAGTATTCTCTTATAAGACCACATTTTGGGGAGTGAACAGCATTTTAGAGATCAGAATATAATCACTTTATAGGTGTGTCAACTGAGGCTCCGACTTGATTAATATCTGCTCAAGGTTACATAGAAATAAAACTAACTAGAAGAAATGTGATTTCTTTTGGTGCTTTCAAGTCACACCTATAGGTAAATCCATGTAGGAAATGATTTTGGACCTGACATAATGTCTGGTATTTATTATTATTTAGTTTATTACATTCTGACAACTCTCAGCATGTGAGAGGAATATAATACCCTTTAGGTATTAGAGGAATGAAATTTCCAACAGAAGTACACTTGATTCATGTCATTTCTCTTATTATTTGATGGATCCTTAAGGTCACAGCTGTAATAATTTGAAGTGATTCTAGATAAATAACCTAAGTCAAGGTGAGCAAACCATGGCTGGGGACAAATGTGGCTCAAGCCTAAGAATGGTTTTTACCTTTGTAAAGGGTTAAAGACAAAGAATATCCCACAAAGACCTATGTGGCCTGCATAGCCTAAAAATATTCATGTTTACTATCTGGCCCATTCCATGAAGACATTTCCTTATCTCTGTCCCCTAACTTAAAAAAAAGAAGAGATTTTAGTCAGAATGTTACAAATAATGGGTAGATTATAGAACTCTACAGTCACATTTCTTGCTGAAAGAAATTAAGTTTAAATGTCTCTAAGGTAACTTTGCAGTCACTGCATATACAGACAGATGGTAGTTCAATGATTCTCAAACACAGGGTCCTAGGGTACATTTGGAAATGTGTGGGACGTTTCTGTTTGGCATAATGATTGAAGAGAATTACTGACATTTTGTGGGTGAGATAAAGGGACACCGCATCTTGCAATGTGAAGGACAGTCCCACAAAAAACTATCTCACCCAAAATGCCAGTAATCACCTGGTTGAGAATAACATAGTGATTGGTAGAAATAGCATTACGTAGACCAAAACAGAAAGTGAGATAAAAGTGAATAATAATATGGTTGTGGTTCTGAGAATTTTATTCTCATTCCTTTTTGTTTTTTTAAAGACATGGTCTTGCTCTGTTGCTAGGCTAGAGTGCAGTGATGTCATCATAGCTCACTGCAACCTCAAACTCCTATGCTCAAGTGATCCTCCTGCCTCAGTCTCCTAAAAAGCTGGGACTACAAACACGTGCTACCACATGTGGCTAATTTTTCTTTACTTTTTTTGGTAGAGATGGGGGAGTCTTGCTATGTTGCTCAGGCTGGTCTTGAACTCCTGGCCTCAAGTCTCCCAAAGTACTAGGATTACAGGCATAAGCCACTGCACCCAGCCTTTCTTTTTGTCACTATAATTCAAGACTGACAGAAAGGGAGAAAGATTAACTTGACATAGATCTAAAAAAAAAAAAAATTCCCCTCCTGTAACAATTGCTGGGGTTACACAATCTTATTAAACACAAAACTGTCAGAGGATAAGAACAACAGAACGGTTAAAAAAGGAGCTTCCCATAGGAAACTGACCCTTTACTCTCTGAAGAGAATCTTTCTCAACCTTGCCCAAATTCATTTCTTCTACCTACTCATTCTTCTATTCAAATCCATGTCTGATTTGTGTGTCTTTTGGTGATACTACTACAAATGACGTTTCACTTTGTTAACTCTATTTCTTTCCTTGATTGACTGCTTTTTAGGTAGTTTTCTGTTAATCATTAATTTTAATTTCTATTTTTAATGATTATTTCTATTAAATCACTGATTATAAAATCTAAAAATTAAGATGGCTTAAAATGGTTGGATGGATGAGTGTAAGTCTTTTCTGATACACATTCATTCTTTGTGCAAATATTAACTGAGCTAAAATGCCTTACATAAACATAAAATGTGCTTCAATTAATCAATTTGGGTAAATTTCTATCAATATTCTAGAAGACTGAAAGGTGTCAGAGCCATTAACCAAATTATGTAAATCAGATAACAAGGAGTCATGAGGGCCAAACACTCACAGACATGGGTGATCTGGACCGGAATCTGCAATGCTGTCACGGGGTTAGGAGAGATGGCTGTATTGTCTTCCAAGCGGGCAACTCTTATCTGAACATGCTGTACACTGGAATTGGAATTACTGTTTGGAACTCCAGATCCTGATTTATTCTCCAAAAGCGTTGGGTTGTTTTTTTGGTTCTCATGTAACTGTTTAAGACCTTTTATTAAGACTGAAGGGAGATGGGTAGACAAAAAGAACATTGATTCTCCGACAGACCACCATCTAAGCAGCAAGGGAGGTGGGGGGAGGGTAAGGAGGGAAAGTATTTGGAATAAATAATTGCATATTGGATGTAAAAATAAAGTATTTTAAAACAACCACTTGTCCTGAAATTTTTGGAGACATTATCCAACATAATACATTTAAAAAATTCTTGTTTTTCTTTTTTTTCTTCATATTTTTCTTTTTTTTTGAACTGGCACTTCATTGTGGCATAAAAGTTCTTAATATTGTTCTTATCACTTTAAGATTCATAATTCACAAACAAAAAAACCAGTGGACACTGCAAAGAACATGGAAATAGGACATTTTCTATGTCCCAGGGCTTCTTGATAGAATTCTTATTATTTAGGAAAAATTCTGGCAATGCTAAGCAGAATTGTCATTTTCGGTTTATTTTCATTTTCTAAATAAATAGTGTCCATTTTCCCCCGAGGACTTATAGGCACTTAACTGGGTTTCCTCACAACTCCAAAGGTAGCAGCTGACCTTTTCCAAGGAGTAGTATGCTACCAGGAGTTCTTGCCAGGGAGGCCAATTCTAGACTTTGCTCTCTCCTATTCATAAACTATACTGGTCTTCTATAACTGGGTGTTTAATTTTTAAAAATCACATTTTCATCAAGCCAAAGTTCCTCAGCATTTAATTTTCCTTTGGAAAAATGGAAGTTGAAGTGCTTTAATAAGGGGAATAAATTTGGATACTTAAAAGATTATATAGATTATATAACTTCGTTTAGTGCCTAAATGCAAAACAGGCAATGAAATGAAAAGTATGTTATACCTTCATTTTAAATACACCCAATTTAAGATCTTGGATTTACATAACAAGTGAAATAAGAAATTTATTGAGACTCTGTTCAACAAAACCAATAACCATAGAATTTCTTTAAATTAACAAGTCCAGTTGTTTGAAATTAGTCAACTCATAAAAAGCTGATTTAAACTTGTTTTCAGAAGTACATCTTTGTACAAAATGAAAATTAAGTCCCGAGTCACTTAACAATGGGGACAGGTTCTAAGAAATGTGTTGTCAGGTGATCCCATTGTCACGTGAACATCATAGAGTGTACTTTCACAAACCTAGATGGTATAGCCTACTCCACGCCTACACTATATGATATAACCTATTGCTCCTAGCTACAAACCTATAACACAATGGTATTTGTGTATTTAAACATATCTAAACGTGGAGAAAGGTAAGGTAAAAATAGGATGGTATAATTTTATGGGACCACTGTTTTATATGCAGTCTGCTGTTAGCTAACATACCATTACATGGTGCATGACTCTCTATATAGTATTTCCTCTTCATAGTTTGAGTGTATATGTGTGTGTGTGTATGTATATGTATGTGTGTGTGTGTGTGTGTATATATGTTTTGGGGCTTTGGGAATTACAGATCACATTAACTCTTCTCTAGGTAAGCAAAAACAATTACTCAAAGAAATAGGGCAGAAGTTTAAGTGAAAAATCTGCCATGGTATCTCTTTAGCTGAGCAAAGAACTTCCAACCTTTCACTCCTAAAGAGTGAATATTGTAAGAGAAAGGAAGAACTTAAAAAGGAAATAATACATTACCAGGGAACGAAACATCCTTATGGTTTGCAATTTGCCTTTTGATGGTCCACCATTTACTGCGAAGCCACTGTGGTGAACGGACACTGCTCCATCCCTCAGCTAACAGATCCCAGTTAATGTCATTTTCATCAGCTACATCAAGCTCTGCTATCCTACAGGTTACAAAATAAGCATCTGTTAGATGTTAAATTTATTTCTCCCTAAGACCCCTCCTCTGACTACAGGGGATGGCACTGGCAATAAAGGGAGTGGCAGGTTATACCAATGAGAGGCTATTGTTAAGATGCATGGGAAAGGATACCAGGAATGCAGACCTGCTTCCAGAGGTAACAGCTAAGAAATACCACTAGCAACAGAGTTTTGTTTAAGGTACAACCAGAGGGCCAAACCATAAATGATTAGAACAAGATGAAGCACTGTGAAGGAAAGGTTAGAATGGGATAAGAACAGGTTTAGTTGTAAAGTGTTCTACAATGTTTCATAGTGTGGCCTTCACTAAGTCAGTTATTTCCTGGATCTGAGTTTTTCCATTTGTGAAACAAAAATGTTTAGAAATGAGCTATTTAAAAAGATGACTAGTTGAAAAACTGAACAAAATGACAAAAATAATTGAAGCAACAATAACAACAGAATAACAACCAAGATAATAGTACAACTAAATTGAGGGTTTTAAAAATCTATTTGTTTTCTAGCTTTAACTGTCATGATGATTTTGACTTTCAGTAGGGAGTAATCACAATGATGGTCTCTATTACTTTGGTGTCTTAAATAATTTCTTGCTGGTATTTTTGTCTATTATACTCCGAGTCTTAATGGTTAAACCAACTAATTTAATAAATAAGGAATTACTACCTTAAAGCTATTTTTGGATTTGTATGAAATGGAAATGTTTGATTTGGTCCAATTTGAAGGTGTGGGGGAAACTAGTCTAGGCCCCCCTTCTTGGCAATCTTAGCACAGTAGCCAAGGATTGAAGGGCATGGAGACTGATAGCCTTCTTACCCTAAACATGTTCCCCCTAGGCTAGGACTGAGGCACATTGGTGGGACAGTGGAAAAGCTGCACTGCCGCTGCCTGTGCCATACCTGTTCTGTGGATATAGGGAGGACTTCAGTCTCCACGCCTTCAATCTGGTACTCTGCACGAGCACTAAATCCACTAAAAAGGAACAAACACAAAACAAAAAAAGAGCTCAATATGAAATACTTAGGATCTTAAATAGTGGCTCTCTATGGAAAGGACACTTTTCAGACATTAGGCGTCTAGGGAAACCAAAAGAGGAAAGTCAATCAAGACATTCACAGCAATTAATGCAGCTTTTGTCATTAAAAGGTAGGACACAAACCTGAGGATGAGATTGATTTCATCTTCCTTGGTCCACTCAGTACCCCCACTCTGTTTCCAGTTCAGGTAGTTGAGCCATTTAGAACGACACTGCTTTTCTGAGCGGGTACCCACTCGTTCAGCCACAGCTGCCCAAGACACACCCTGTGTGACTATGTCACCTGGCTCAGTACTTGTCAATTCGTGAACCACTTCTGCAAGTCTCTTTTCTTCTTCTTCTGTCCACTTCCCTGAAAGAAGGAAATCATCCAGACTACCACTGCTACCTTCTCCTCCTCCTCCTACAAATCTGATTCAGCCCTGTATTTATAAGGACTGATGGTAGTATGCAGCAGTACTAAGAGTTTATTTCTGAATGACCCTCTGGTGGGAAACCACATATACCTACTAAGACAGTTGTACTTTACTAGCCCAGTAATAGTCTCAGTGAAAATAGAAAATATAGAATCCTAATGGAGAGCACTGACTGACACTTTAAGAAAAGCAAAGCTACCCAAAACATAACTACAAAGAATTATGTATTCAAGTTATACCATCTTTTTTCCTCATTATCCCAACTCCAAGTTACTGTGATGAAATATCAGTAAAGTCTGACACTGGAATTTATACATACTTTTATTCTTGTTTTTTCTGAACCTATCAACCCACTAATAAATAATATCAAATGTTCCTCTTGGTCTTTTTCTTATGAAGCTATAGCAGAAAAACAAGGTGGGGGGAAAATCCTGTTTTTAAAAAACCTCCTTCTGTTTCCATTCTGTTACTAGTAGCTAAAAATTTATAGAAAATATCAAAAAGACTATGTGCTTGCTCAGGGATCCATTCATTCAACAAAATATTTATTGAATGTTTACTGTTATGGTAAGCACAGTTATGGATACTGTGGGTGGAATTCAAGACAAAGTCCTTTTCTCCTATGCTAGCATGATACAAAAGGAAGGGAATACTCTGAGACTGGGCTATTTTGTGGTGCGGAACACGGGAGAAAATTCCTCATCACAATCTGTATGTTACAACATGAGAAGGAACCAGACAGATCAATCCCTCAGGCTGGCAATCAGGGAATGGCACAGTGTCCTTCCAAATAATGTTAACAAAAGGGTTTTGTTACTCACAGCATCTTACACGAACCTCTGGGGTCCTATCCTAAATCTAACCCTTCCAATCTTGCTTCATTCATGAAGTTAGCCATGTCACAGAATGACAGAGTTGGTGGAATGAATATTCTCACTGCCTTGTAGGTAACAGTGATGGTACAGCAGTGAAGCAAGAAACATTTTTTATTTCATTTTAGGGGGGTGGGAGTGGTAAGGATAAAAAAATATATACCCTAGAAGCTAACACAAAGCTTGAGAACTAGTTTTTCTTTTTTTTAATTGAAAAAGAGCATAGATTGTGGATCTTTCAGAGAACATCAGGGCTAAAAGAGAACTACGAAATTATAGTTCTAACCTGTTCATTCGATACACTTGTATATATTAAGAGGCATTTGTGGTCTGGCCTGAGAACTGAAAATCTAATCACACATTTTTTCCTATGGGAAAATATACTTTGAGTTTGAACTAAGCAAAATACATATAAACCTTTGGAACACAGCTGCTTCTTGGGACCTGGCTGCAACTAAAGTTTTTCATAGATACATGTTGATAAGCTGTTATGAACATGAACTTAACAGTTAGATGGGCCTAAAATAACATTACTTCCTGTATATATGCCTTAAAAATAAATACTTTCCCAACTGGGGGGGGGGGTAAATCCCTATAAAACTGAAACATGATAGAGCTAAGTCATCTTGAAACTAAGGTGATGTATCCCTGTGAATAATGTCATCTTATACAAAAACAAAGATTAGTTGGGTGTAGGTATTAAGCTGAAGAAAAAGACTAGAAAATCAAGTTTGAACTGACATAAAAGATAATTTTTTTCCCCCAGAACAAAGAGAAGGCAGTATCTGAAGGGGTTAGAGGTGCAAATGGTGACAAGAAAATGACACCAGTAGCACTCACAGTACCTGTGTTGCAAGTATCCTTCATCAGTCGGCACCGATCTTTGACGGAAGATGCACTTCTTCCTAGCGCCGCCCCTATTGTTGCCCAGTCATTGCCATGCTTTATCCGGAGCCTAAAACAAGAGTCTGCCAATCAGCATTTGGTTCAACTGTTTTCTCCCTTTTAATTTCATCATTTATTCTTCATTCTTCTTCTTCCCATTTGACTGGTTTGGAAGTTGTGGGCAGCAATACTTTGAGAGCCAAAGTTTGAAAGTGTGGCCTTTTTTTGGGGTCCACAGTTGTCTGTGGGTGAAAAAAAAACAGGCAGCAATTGCCTTTTTCCTGGGTCAGAGAAGAAATAAGTAACTTGGATATGTGTTCAAAAAGACCAAATTTCCCCTCAGGTTATTGACATAATCTCCCAGGCAAGCCCCAGATTTTTCCCTTTTGAGCATATACCTAACAAGCTTTTTAGATACCTGAAAAAGTTAAACAGGTCTTTTTCATCATAAACAGAATCTACTTTCAATTTTTTTCATGTTTCATGCAATTCATTAAATTATACCTTATGGCCCTAACTCAGTGAAGCAAAATTATGTTTCCTGAGATTCATAGCCTTTACAAGGTAGAGTCATCCCAGAGATATTCGGTGAAATATTTGCCAAGTCTCCACTCTAAGCTAAGCCATGTAGCACAACCCTGGTTTTGATACTGCTACATAAATTCCCCAAATTTAGTGTTCAGGCCACCAAAAATGGCCATCTAATCTTTTCTGGAACCCCTACTAGTGGTCTCAGGAAGCATTTGGTGACTGACAACAGAAGACTAAATTTATGCTTTATGGGCATGGCTACTCTGTGCAGGTATGGATCTGATGTGATCTTTTTATGGTCAATAATGCTTAACAGCAGAATAACATTACACCAGTCTTCCAAAAACCTTTTGAAATTTTCAAAGTAAACTTTTACAAAACATAAGACATAAAAAACAAACAATTGGAATTAAAAAAAAAACAAAAACAAAAAAACTTAAAACTTACTCCTTGAGCTTCTCAATTTCTTCAGGTGTGTATCTACAAATTCAGAGAAATTTGAAAAAAATCAATCAAAACAAGAAATGCTAACAACCTAATAAAAACCAGAATTTCACTTAGGGAGCTGAATGTTAATTTACTTAGCATACTGATAATATTTTTAAAGTAGCCTATTTTAAAGTAGATTAATAAAAGCTAAAAACAAAGGCTTCTAATTTCCTTTAAAAAAAACCCCACCAATAGTAAATACTTTTAGTTAGAATAAAGTTAAGCACTGCACAACTTTCTCCAGGAAAATTCAATATTTAAAACATATTTGCCCCAATGCTGCCTAACAGTTCCTTTATTTCAAAATTATGTTTCATAACTGAAATCACAACTGTTCTGAAAAGACTTTTGGATGACACTGTAAACTAGAATAAATCTATGGAAAATTCTCTCAAGGGACTGAAAAAATTAAGATTCTCTTAATTTCCTCTACCCAGGCATGGATATCTTACATACTCTTACTCTTTAGTTCAGTAGTCAAATCTTCAATAAAGCCAATGTAACATTCTTTTTTAAAATGTCCACTTAATAATTATGAAAGGCTGCTCACTTTTAAACCACTTGTATTACATGGAAAGTTTATCCATAGTTACAAGTCCTTCATGCTCCATTTAAAAATTTCTCTTTTTCTACTGTCATAAAAACATAATTTAATTCTCTTCAGCTCTTAAGTGTGCTCTCATTAGCATGCTGCTGAAGAGGAAAAGCTGTACCAGTACCAGTAGCTCGGTAGTAACTAGTAAGCTGTACTACTGCTACCTAAAATTTCCAAAGAAAGTACAATAGTAACAACATAAAATCATTGCATTGAAGACTCTTAGTAATGCCTTCCCATAAAAGCTACCTATAAGAGAAATCCATGCATTGTTTCCAGAAATATAGTTTTCCCAGTCTGATTTAAAAAAAAAAACAAAACAAAAAACCTCACTGACTTAGGAAGGCTATACTCTAAAAAACCAATAGGAACAGTGTTACCAATGGATTTGGAGTTCTTTTCACACACTTCTTAAATCTTTAACCACTATTATACTTTTTATGTCACCTTACTACAATATAGACTTTACTATATTAAGTATATCTAACCTACATAAAATGATTTAGATTCTAATTTCTAAAAGAGGCCTTATTATAATGAGGTTTCACCATATTTACAACATGGACCTGGAGGATAAAAATATTAACTCAAAAGTCATTCATAGTTGTCTCTAATTAAGGGCCTGATCATAATCCTATTTTTAAAAAATGACAGTTCCTTAAATATTTTCCCTAATTACATGAAAACATGCAGCATTACAAGTTTTCATACTTTCCCACATGGTTTCTGTCATCATACATGCGAAGCACTCTTCTATAAACTGCAAACAAAGGCCGGTTCAGACCCCATGCTATAGTCCTGTAGAAATCTTTTCTTTCGTCTTTTGACATCTCAAAGATGATTTCTGTAGCATCTTTTATTCCGCGTGCCTAAATGGGTTACATTTCTTTGATTTAGGGATTTCTGATAAAATGCATATGGAATACTATGCTTTTAAAACTGGTTTTAATATTAAAGGTCATCAATGGCATTTAGAAAAAATATATATTGCTAATTCATTAACAAGTCATTTATGGTGTAAGAGATAATAAAGTGATACTTAAATGTTCTAAAAATAAACTGTATCAAGTTCAATTTCTGTCAACTCCTTTTAAAATTATAAAAAATTAAAAATGAATCTAAAGAAAGCAGAAAGAAGAAAATCATAAGAGCCAAATGGAATCAGGAATCAAATAAAGCGTAGAAAGAATAAAAAACCTAGAAATTCGTTCTTTGAAAAAATCCTTTAAGATTAATAACATTTGAAATGACAAACTTCTAGCAAAATTAAAAAGACACAAATAATATTAGAAATGAAAAAATAAGCCCCAAGTAGAAATGCTGCAGAGATTAGTTAATAAAAGAACATTATAAACAATTTTATGGTAATCAATTTGAATTCAGATAAAATGAATAAATTCCTAGAAAAAGCCAACTTACCAAAACTGACTCTGAAAGAGACAAAAATTGAATAGGCATTGACCATCAAGAAAATTTAATGAGTTATTAATAATCTTCCCACATTGATAATAACCAAGCCCAGATGACAGGTAAATCTTACCAAATAGTCTAAAGATACATAATTCTGATCTCAAACTATTCTAAAGAAAAAGTGGCAGCCAGGAGCAGTGGCTCATGCCTGTAATCCTAAAGCTGTGGGAGGACTACCTTGAAGCCAAGAGTCAAGACCAGCCCGAGCAACATAGCAAGACTCCATCTGTACTAACAGGAAAGGAACGGAAAGGAGAAAGAAAAAAGGAAAAAGGAAAGGAAAAGAAAAGAAAAGAAAAGAAAAGAGTGCTAATTTTATCAAGCTAGCATAATCTCAATAGCAAAACCAGACAAAGGCAGTTTCAGAAAAGAGTTTTTAGGCCAAGCCCATTCAGTAACATAAACCTCCCAAATCTTAATAATATTTTAGCACACTGAACCCAACAATGTATAAAAAAGTTGATTCACCAGTGTAAAAAGTAAGTTCATCCCAGGAATACAAACTTCTGTTAACTTCAGAAAAATTATTAATTAATCAGATCAGCAAATTTATAGAAAAAATGTAAAATTTAACATGTGGAAAAGCATTCATAAAATTCAATATTCCTAAGTGATAAAACTCTTAGCAAATTATGATTTGCTGATAATCTGATAAAAAATATATAAAACACATAAAGACTGGAAAAGAATCTTTTGTAGATAATGTTATATTTGTAGAAATCCAAAAATCTATGAAAAAAGTATTTTATTTGAAAAAGCATCTTAGCAAGGTTGCTGGATACAAAAGTGATATAAAGTCATTTGCATTTCTATACAAAGCTTATACAATATTTTTTAAAGTTCTCCCTTACAACAGCATCAAAATTAAAAGCATCAGGACTAAATCTTAGGCAAATTATGAAAACTTTATCCAAAGACATTAAAGAGGAACTAAAACGAAGAGTTACACGCCGTGTTGTTCAACTGGACGACGAAACACTGTGAAGATATTAATCACCCCCACGACTGACGTACACAGATTCAATGCCATCACAATAAAAATTCCATCACTATTTCATTCTCTGAAAGCCGATTCTAAATTTATAAAAGAAGAGCAAATGGCCAATAGCCAAGACACTGATGAAGAGACTTGCCCCATCAGATATTGGGACTTCTGAAGGCAATGCTGTACTGGTGCAGGTATCAACAAACAGAACTTGGAAACAAATTAGAAAACCTATAAACAAATCTGTGAAAGCTTGATTTAGGACAGACAGAATGGACCTTGTAGACTGGGGAAAAGACTGAGGTTCCATAAATGATGCTGAGACAATAGTCTTCCATATAGAAAAAGATAAAATTGAAAACCTATCTCATAGGGAAAAAAAAAAGCCAGCAAGATCACTTATAAAACTTTCACAAGATAATATGTGAGAATCTAACCCCCTTGAGGCTGGGGAGGATTTCTTAAGCATGTAAAACAACAAAAAAAAGATGATATAATCGATATTGAAATTTAAGAATCTTTGTCCATCAAATGATACCTAAAAGAGAAGGAAGGAAAAGACAGGCCACTAAATTGGAACAAGATATCTGTAACACAAATGACCAATAAACTGTTAGTATCCAGCATATATTAAGAATGTCTAATGGCCGGGCGCGGTGGCTCAAGCCTGTAATCCTAGCACTCTGGGAGGCTGAGGCGGCCGGATTGCTGAGGTCAGGAGTTCGAAACCAGCCTGAGCAAGAGCAAGACCCGTCTCTATATAAATAGAAGAAATTAATTGGCCAACTAATATATATAAAAAATTAGCCGGGCGTGTGGCGCATGCCTGTAGTCCCAGCTACTCGGGAGGCTGAGGCAGCAGGACTGCTTGAGCCCGGGAGTTTGAGGTTGCTGTGAGCTAGGCTGACGCCACGGCACTCACTCTAGCCTGTGCAACAAAGCGAGACTCTGTCTCAAAAAAAAAAAAAAAAAAAGAATGTCTAAGTAAAAGAAAATGATGAACAACTCCATAGAATAATTGGTAAAAGATACAAAGAAGAATTCCAAAGAAACACAAATGGCCAATAAACATTTAAAATATGTTATCAGAGAAATATCACACAAATTAAAACCATAATGAAATACCATTCATACACACCAGATTTGTACAAATTAATATCAAAAAACTAAAAAGTACCCATATGACCATTGAATGTAAAATGAGAAACTTGTAGTATATTTGCACAATGAAATATAGTTAAACAAATTAACAGGGGAAGGATATTAAAATCTTAATATTGAGCAAAGGAAGCAAGTTACAGAATACCCAGAGAATTAATTTATATAAATTTTAAAAACAGATGAAGTCAGACTGGGTATGCATTTTATACTACTTTGAATGTATGAACTCCATAGGAAAAGCTTCTCAGTTTTAGAATCTTTTCTAAAATTCTTTCATTTATGCAGTTCCAATTTTGCAAATGACTAAATATTTATTGAGCTTCTACATGCAAGACACAATGAGTTGCAGGATGACCATTACAGTGAGATAAAAGATTCTTCTGCCCTCACACCCCCTGCCTATCCTTTTTCTTGCTTGTGACAGTTACTTTCATTTATCCTTTAACCTAAAATAAGAAACATGAGACATCTAACTATTAATAAGTGAAACTTTCTTAAGTTTAAAACTGGCTCTTTAGTGTTCTTAAAGAAAAGCATCACATAATAAAAAGCATGGTCAAGAATGAGAATTAAATAAATTTATCTTTTTCCAAAACCAGTGAATTTTTTTGGACATTATTTCTGCCAATCCTATCATCATTGTTAAAATAAAAACTGTTAAGTTACCAACTCCTCTTATTTCTTCTTTCCCAACATCTAGTCACGAGGCTTCCTTACAGATTACTTGCTTATCTGCCCTTTACCTACCAATTCTATTTCTACCATTGTAGTTTAAGTCCTTGCCATTCTCACCTGGTCTACTGAAATGGTTCTCTAAACAGGTCTCAAATCCTACTGACTGCCCTCTCCATTAATCATTAAGTTAGAAGGGTCCTTGGAAATCATCTACTTCAATCCCCTAGACATGATCTTAATCCCCAAAGTTTTCTACCCATTACTGCTTTATCTAAACCCATAGCATTTTCAAGTTTTAACTAAAGTGTATGTGACCAGTAGACAACTTTAATACACTCTGGATATAACAGTTCAATAGTCACTGTACTCCTGTTTCTCTTAAAACAATAAACTTGGTGGAAGGATATTAATTCATTAAAGAATTAAAGTTTTTAAATTCTTCATAGTGTACAAAGCTTGGCTTAGGAAGGCTGCAGTTAAAATTAGGCTTAAATGTGGACATTCTAGGCAGCAATGTATTTATACATTAGTGTATAGTGAAAATAGTAAACAACCTATATAGCAAACAATACCCCCAATGCTAACAGTCTACATTCAAACGTGTAGTATTTGAATCTAACCCCCCATTATAGGAATGGTCAGCAAGTCTCTAGGAAGATTTCCTTAAGAAAAATCTACTCCAATGATCTCTCACTTAACTAAGCTACCAGCTTTTTAAAAACCCTTTAGTAATTCTCATTTTCTACTATAGGATAAAATTCTAATTCTTTGGCCTAGACTTCAAAGCCCAGTTTTCTACAGGATATTGATCTTGGTTCAAGGTAAAGGGATTAATGTAATGTGTCCTGGTTTTGATCTCTGATTTTTTGCCTTTCTCATGCTGTTGCCTTCAGTCCCACTCCAGCCCAAGTTCTCCCCCTTTAAGACTCAGCTCAAATCTCTGCTCTTCCAAAAATTTTCTGTAACTGTCCTAATCTTGAGAATAAACTTTTCCTTCTTTGAACTTGTGTAGAACTCAAAACACATCACTTACATTGTACAAAACCTGTATCATCCTTCACCTGTTTTCAGTTTTCCCAAACTGACTGCTGGCTTTCCAAAAGCAAACATTACGTGTTAAGGCAATTCATATATCTCTAGTTCCTCAAAAACACTGTGTTCAAAGAACATTTAATGAAGAAGACTAAGCTAACAAGAAATAAGCCTGAATGTAAAAATAAACTAAATTTTTAATTGCTTTAAAAGGGAAGGATTAGCATGATGTCATAAATTCATTCAAAGAAGAAGTATACCTTAAGCTTTAGACAATATAAATTAAACTGTAGTTTATGGACAGCTTAAAAAGGCTTTAAGATGTTGAGAGGTCAAGATTCTGTCTAAACTTAAGGGTGACAACTAAAGCAATAAAGCTATTTTGAACTGAGAATTCAAAATTTAATTAAAAATGTTATTATACTATAATCACATATCTTAGAATTATGCTACAACATATTAGCTAATCATGTTACAAAAAGTAGTTAAAAGTTTCTAATATGTACAAACAGTATGCTGTTTTAATATTTTTGCAACTGGCAGTAAATCAGTGAAACAAAAATATGCCATAACATACCTTCAGATAGCGTTCAATATTGTTCATCAAAATATCAATTTCCTCCTTGGACCACATCCCCTGCTTCCATTTATGTCCTTTAAAAAACAATAAGTAATGTTACAGAAAATGTTACTCCTTGAGAGGATTAAATAGTAAAGATATTCTGTATGTTAACTAAAGATTTCCTTTGTGACTAAATTATCTGTGAGAATAAAAGATAGCTAATTTAATTTCTCATTCATTTGAAAAAGATCCCCAGGTAAAGTTGTTTTTGTAACCCCTGCTTTTTAAGTAAGAATATATTTGACCCTACTAAAAAAACAGTCAATTGTAATTAAGAGATTTAAAAAATACTACTTCTATTATCCTTTGAGCTACAGAATTGCTAAAAAGTCAAATCACACTCAAAACTTTGGGAAAAATTTCTCCAGTAAAAAATAAGTTTTACGGGCAAGAGAACATGTACAAAAGATTCCAGGGCAAGGTAAACACAATACATTGTATACCAAGTAAATAATGTATTTTTAAAGAGTATATATTGTACAGTGGTTGAAAACAATCAATTTACTTATTTCTACTTCTTTTCTGTACTTTAGAGTGGCATATATACAACCTCTACTTTTTTGTAGCAGCTTCATCAGCTATGCTTATGAGTACAGCAGCACTTTAAATACTGTTACTATACTTTATGTCTCTAAGATGCTTATCAAATTGAAGTTAGCAGACGCTTGAAAAGGCTTGACTTACTACTCTCATAAGCAGTAACTATATTGTCTTTTTAACACTACCAAAAATTAAAAATAAAACCTACTTTGTATCAGAAAAATATAATTACTGAAAAGCAAATGTTGGTTTCATGGCCTTATTTGAAGTCATTAAGGCCAAATTTAATTCAATTAGAAAAGCTCAATTACTGTAACTACTCAATCCCAGTGATGACGGTCCAACTCAGAATCTCAATGACTATAAGCCCTTTCTATCTCCATTTTATCCAATGGACACTAAAATTCACAGTATTTCTTACCTTTGTTAGTCAGAGAATCCTTGTCTTCTTTAGTTGTAAACCATGCTTGACTAACTGCTGAAACTTCCTCATTACTCAAGGGAGATATTTCATCTAGTTGCTCATTCTGTAAAATCTTGAATAGGTGAAAGTAAAAAAAAAAAAAAAACAAAAACAAAAAACAAAGAACAAAAACAGTGGCAGTTTGATACCCAACCTTATTCATCTTTGTAATGCTAAGCATTATGAAACTTTAATATAGTAATATAGAATTCACTTATTTTAGACATGGTCAATTTACAGAAAAACAAACATTTCTTGCTGTTTTTATTATGGCAGTATAAAAACAAAATAATCCACATTAACATAATATAACCTTTGTTTAAGCAAGTAATGTAGTGGTGGCTTCAATTTTATATAAAATAGGCTAATATTCTATTAAGTATTTAAATCAACATAATAAATGTAAACGAGCTCATCATACATACACCATTATAATCAGTTCCAGATACAAAAACGGAAATGCTAGCGTTTAGTGTTATGACTGGTTAATGGTCCTCACAGATAGTTTACTGCTTAAATATAGTTATCTCTTAATGTAACCTCTCATTAAAGAATTAACAGATAAAATCAAAAGACATTATTGCAAAATCATCTTCTGCTTATTGTTTACTGACAATTTTGTTTTAGCCACTCCCCAGAGGTGATTCATAGCCTTATAAATGTACCTTCCTCTAAAAGAACTGTGTGGTAGTACTTATTACTACTGCAGCTAAAGCAGTGTCTTGTGCAAAAGCACAAGGTATATTTTCAATTACAAACACACCCAAACTAACAAGTTCTGCAGGAAAAAAGTTGCTTTTAACAGTTGACCTGGTCCTAAAGAGAGCTATAATGTAAATGTAAATGAGGAAGACCTGGCAATAGTTCTACCATATCAGGTATGATCCAATCATAGGCAGACCAGGATAAGGGGAAATCACATGCTTACTGCCCATTCAACCCAATTCAGTCTCTGGGCTGGATAAACTACTAAGCAATGTCACTGGTTGGAGTCCTAAGAATGACTGGATTACTATTTCTTGAATAAGCAGAAATTGAACTTATAATTTGGAGAGGAACTGAAACTCAGCTCACTTAGAAAGAGATAAGCTGTCAGTGAACAACCAAGGTACAATGAGAAGACAAGCCACATCTCTAATGTTGCCTACTTTATTTTAGTATCAGGTGGTGATACATATATTTATGAAAGTGCTTAAAAATCCATGGGCAAAAAGCTAGAAATCACTGGAACAAGTCTGAAAAGTTTTACAGCCCTATTATTTATGTGTCATACTTTGTAGATTAAAAAAAAAAAAAAAAAGACCAAGAGAGGGATCTTTCTAAAGCTGAGAACTGAGACGGATGATATCTAAGGCCCCTTATACTTTGAAGATCACAATTCTCACAATTCTGTAAGATTTGACCCAAGAGTTATACATTAATAAAAGGTGAAACAGATCTATCGAAAGACCTTGATACAATATCCACTTTTTATTTATTTATTTTTTCAATATCCATTTTTAAGAACTATAATGTAGAAAACATTAAAAGATCTTCTCTTAAGGAATCATCATTTCCCAAAGTATGTTTATATAGCAGAGCCCACTCCATGAATCTTAGAATAAGTCTGTCATGTTAACTAACTGCTATTTTGGGACAAACTTAATGCCTTATGGTTCAAATTGTCCTGATAAAGAGTAACAATTATCACTAAATCATATAGCCATCAAATGAGCAAATAATTATTAAGTGGTAACAGTAATATTCAACATTGTCAATAACAAATGAATTTAATGAGTATAGTAGGAGACTTATGTACTCTGAAGGGTACCTATCTATATTTAGTATACAGATAATAAGTTTTACAGTATTTTACTGCTATTTTAACTGCTTTATGCATAAATCTTTTAAATTTACTCAGGCTTCATTTAATATCCTGTTGCTTTTTAGATGAAGTCTTTGTGAGTTGGTTGCAGGATTTCATGTCTATAGTATGTATAGACTTAGAAATATAAAAACAAATATTCAATCCACTGAAGACCTCTTGTAATCACAAAGTACTGTATATATTGGGACATTTTACAGTGTCTGATTATTTTTCAAGCTAGTCCCATTACTGGAATAAGATAGTACATTAACTACCAAACTATGTCAAATAGTTACAACCTGGTTTACAGCAAGGATACAGTAAGAAGCAGACTATTTCTGAACTTTTTAACCATGTTGACTTTGAATTCATAACCTAATATTAATCTTGTTAAACAAATATTAGAAATTATTAAAAGTTTTTCACTCACTAAAATGGTAATAACCAAGAGGCTAAATATTAAATAACTAATTAAATATCTGGCAATAATCAAAACAACTTTATAATTTGTCTTATAGTAAAGACTAATATTGTCACTGCTCAATCTTATATTAATTAGGTTTGCAAACCAAATCATATATATGTATACAATACACATATGTATTTTTATGTGGTGAAAATTGGATAGAAGTGAGACTACATAGTCTTTAAATCTGGAATGACTTTGACAAGTCCTATTTTGAAGGAAAGGTACATGCTATTGCCCAGGGGGTTTGGAAAAAACTTCCTATGCAAATCATCAGCTGAAATCCAAGGGCAGATTATGAGGATCTCCAGCCTGGCTCAAAGCTATTTGAACCATATTTGAGACTCACCCTTCTGGAAATCTTGAGATCCTGGAACTACACATTATTGCAAAAGGTTCACACTGCACATACCTGAGGTGTCTTTAGTCCTTGGTGTTACATATCAACTTGCAACTATTATACTTTTTAAACGAAGGGTCATTGTGATGCTTCATTAATGTAAAATGCTACAATGTCTCTATTTCAAATATGTATTTTATTAAATGAAGTGATGAGGCAAAAGGACAAGATACTAAAAAAGAAAGGTATAATCAGCCAAAGATAAATGTGTAAGTAAAATAAAGTGAAGCTTCAGGCTATCTAAGAAAACAAAGAATTCTGATTACTTTTGGCAGAATTAACTTAGCTAGAGCTTATATGAGACAAAGAAGTTCACAGTAAGGTCTGATTACCATCCAAACACAACACATACTGTATCTGAGCCTGTAAGCACCACAAGGAACAGTATTACCATAACTATAACTGTTGTTATTTAACAGCCCAATTGAGATCACTATATGTAGATAATGAATGCACATGCATCATCTCCTATTTCAACAGATGTAAACAACTCTACAGGGAATAAATTTTAAAACTCTATCTTTGGTTACAACTGAGACATGTGGCAAATGGAAATATGAATGAAGTAGTAAATCTTATCTCAATTTTGTGGTTACTATTTTGTCAGACAAAATATATTCTCATCATTTTATTAACTAAGCTATGTTTAATGGATCATTCTTCTGAGGCCAGCTAAAAGATTTACTATACCTGGATCTGTGTCACAGTCCCCTCAGTAATCTCATCATCTGCCACCTCTGTGGTCGCGGTCATGGTCACCTCGAAGCTCTGATCATTTTCTGAAACTTCAAGAAAAGGAAGAGTAGTTCATCTCCAGAGTAATAATGGCAAGTACTAATTATTCCAAAATTATCCATGGTGGAAATGCAACCATCTAATTCCCTAACATACTTTTTTGTCAATACTTCTTTGCTTAACAAATATTTATTCTGCACTTAATTCCCAAAAGATACTGCTCTAGGTACTGGGAATACAGCAAGTGAGAAAAAGAAACAAAAATCCTGCCTTCATGGAGCTTATATTCTAGTGGGGAAAGACAAAAGATGAACAAGATACTATGTTGGAGAGTAATTAGTAGAAAGGAGAAAAAAATAAAGCAGGAAAGGGAATGTGTTGGGGTGGGGGAAGGTATTTGAAATTTTAGATAGGGGGCTAGAAAAAGTGATCAAGACTTTGAGCAAAGTGAGCAAGCAAGCTGGTCTTGTAGGTACCTTAAGGAAGGACATTTCAAGGAGATCCAAGCACAAAGACTCTCAGATGGGGCATGCATGAAGTGTTCATGGGCATAGCAAGGAGGCCAGTGTGCCTATAGCAAACTGAATAAGAAGAGTAGGAGATTGTGTGGGGCCTTACAGGCCACTGTAAAGACTTTGGTGGGAAACCATTAAAAGATTTTGAATTAGAGGAGTGTCAATAATCTGACTTTTATTTTAACAGGATCACTCTGGCTGCTATGGAGAAAACAGTCTGAAGGGCAGCAAGAGCTGGAGTGAGATCAGTTAAGAGGCTAATACAATAATCCAAATAAGATAGGTCAGTGGCGTGGACTAGGGTAAAGTCAAGTGAAGAGTGGTTAGTGGTTCAAATTATGAATGTATTTTGATGGTAGAGCCAATATAGTTTGCAGAAAAACCAGAAAACTGAAGAGCCATGGATAACATAAATTTTTTTAAAAAATCTCAACTACTAGAATAATGGATCTGCTATTAATGAAATGCGGAAAGCTGTTAAGAAAAGCAAATTTAAGGATTTAGGAAGTTTTAGGAGCTCAGTTTTAAACACATTAGTGTAAGATACCTACTAAACATCTGAAGTTTAAGAGAAGTCTGGGCTGGAGTAAATCTGAGAGTTATCATTAGATAGTATTTACAACCATGAATTGAGATCACCAAGAAAGTGAGTAAAAACAATAAAATCAGTCTAAGGACTGAGTCCCGGGGTACTCTACATTTACAGGTTCGGGTGACATGAGCAAGTTAGCATAAGAAACTAAGAAGGAATTAAAGGAAAAATACAGTGAAAACCAGAGAAATGTGTCTCCTAGAAGCCAAGTGACAAATGTTTCAAGGAGGAGGGAGTAATAAATATTGTCAAAAGTTCCTAACAGATAAAGTAAAAAAAAAACAAAAACAAAACCATTGGATTTAGCAACAAGGTGGTCTCTGGAGACCTGAGAAAAACAGTTTTGGCTAAGGGGTAAAAGCCTGATAAGAGTGGGTTTAAGAAAAATGGGAGAAGAAATGAAGGCAAATATGGGCAATTTTCATGGTATTTTGACCTACAGGCAAGGAGAGAAATAGAATAGGAGCCAAAAGTGAGCTAAAGGGATTTTTTATTTAAACAAAAATAGTATGTTTGTAATACTGATAGGAAGGATCCAGTAGAGAATGAAAAATAGAAGATTTAGAAGAGAGGAAATAATTATTGGAACAATGTGCTTCAGCAGGCAAAGGGGATGAAATCTAGTAAACAGAGGGGCCTTAGTTAGGATAAACAGAATATATGGACATAGATGCAGATGAGTATGCATTTGTAGTAGTGGGAATTTGTACAGATTATTTCCCAGATATTTTAATTTTCTCAGTGAACTAGGAAGCAAGGTTATCAGTTCAGAGTAAAAATGTGGAGGTGATACTGGAGGGGTTTCAGGACATGGAATTTAAAGTGAGACTAGTCAGCTTGCTTGTGTCATTTTTCTCTAATCCTTTTCAACTAGCTGCACTGGTATAGATACAAATAGGTGAAGACAAATTTAGACAGGGTTATGGTTTCACCAAAGAACAATAAATGAGAGAAGGAAAAAGGACTTGAAGGTAAATAAGACAGTGACTATAATAATTAACCATGAAAGTGAAACCGGGTAAGGAAGAAAGAAAGGATACAAGTGAAGAAGGAACAATGAAAAAGTGGTAAGATCCATGGGTCTCAGGGGAGCAAAAGATGGCAGGAATTAAAGAGTATTAGAGGAAATGAGCTGGAAAGATAGGAAGTAGTGGCAGAAAAACAGTGAGTCTGAAATAGATCACAAATGGACAGTAATGGGTAACAGCAAGAGAGGTAAAGAGAGTAATAAACAGAACAAAAGCAATAAGAGGCTAAAGTACTGAAAGAATCATCTAAATGAATATTGCATTCACCATATAGTTATAATCTAATAAAGGATGGGGTAAATGTAGTGGTAGATGACTGCAAAAAGTGGTTAGTGAGCTAGAATGAATAACATGAGACTTAAGGCTGGATGCTGAGAGGATTTTTAAAGACCAGATAAATTTTTTCAGTCTTATTACTAAACAAATATTAGGTCCAGAATATCTTCATATGTGATGATGCTATGAGCTGACATTAACATTAAGCAGCTTGTGGGCTTTCATGTCAACATATCTGTATTATCTTAGCTAAGTGAATGAGACTATAAAGGATTCAGTTTAACAACATAAAACAGAACAAAATACCAATTGTAGTTTGGACCTACAAACATGAATCAGGCACTCTACTTTAAGCAAATGAATGAACCAGTCAATTTATATCAAAATAACCACTCAAAAATTGTAGTTTAGGAAATGTCCACATAGAATTATATCTGTACAGATAAGCCAATCAAGTTTTAAAATTGAATCACAACATGACAGTCAAATTAGAAAAGATCTAAAAAATATAAGAATCAAGAAGGAAAAGAATCTTAAATAGAAATACTGTACTCATATATGCCACAACTAGAAGCAATATTAACACTGTTTTTTTGCTAAAGTCTCATAGCAAACTGAAATAAAATGGTTTCTTTCCTGTTCAATTTAACAAGCCACTAACTCCAAATACAGAGTACATATCTATTTGTTAACATAATTTTCCATGCTGAAAACATAGTCTTATTTTTTTCATTGAATGAAGATATGATTTTGCCTGATGCTGAATGTAAAATGAAAGTTCTCAGATATGGCAAAACTCTCCTTTGTGCTAGGAGTGCCACCAATAGTCATGTGCCCCATCCCCACTGCCATGGACTAAGACTTACTCTGGCTTTGAGTGGGTCACCGATCTTAAATCAGTTTCTATATTTTTTGCTAAGCAAATCAGAAATATAACCTAATGTTGCAATTGGTACATAGTCTTTTGCCAGCAGTATTCCACCTGAAATATACCTCCTATAGAATCCAATCTATTCTAAATGATTTCAGAATATAAACACGTTAAGAACTTTCTTAATGAGAATAAACTAGGCTTCTATCTAACTTTCATGTAATCATATAGCATGAGAGGCAATATAGCACTGGGGTTAAGAGTATGGACCACAGAAACCAGAATCCTGGATATGATCTTGGACAACTTCTTATACCTCTCTGTGCCTCAGTTTCCTAATTTATAAAATACGGATAATAATAATGATACCTTTTATAGAGCATGCTTTCTCGATGAGGGCAAATATGGTTCTTGGGAAAGCAGTACTTGTAAAAAACATTTTATTATCTTTATGAACAAAGCAAGTATATATGTACAGTGCATTTAAAAAATACACTATGTATCTTTGGGGCTATACTGTATCATGGAGGAAGAGTGTAATCAGGAAAAAAATGTCTAAAAAGGCTCCTTGTGGGGAAATAATTTTAAAAAAGGTTGAGAAGATTAAGCTAGGCAATAATGTAAAAGCATTTAGAGATATGCCTGGCACATAATAAATATTAAGTATTAGTTAAAAAGAGTTTTGACTGAATGAGAAGTAAAGCAATCTACCTAGTCCAAATCTATTCTAGTCCTATTCTAGTCCAAATCTACCTAGAAATGCCAAATGAATCCCTTGCAAGCTAAAATTTGATTTCAAAAGGGAACTCTATTTTCTTAATACATAGTGACTTACGTGGAAGTGCAACAACTGATATGCAAGGAGTAGAATCATCAATACTCTGATCATCCTCAGAGGATAAACAAAGCCTTTTATGCGGAGGTTCAGTACTATCTTCTGAATCTATTTCATCCACTTCTAATGAAAGAAACAAACAAACAAAAATCTCAAAAACTTCAAACCAATGAGGTTTTCAAACAAAATCTCTAATTAGTAATGACTCTACAACAATTTTCTTATCCATTAAAACAATCTTCTTACCCATCTGCTCATTTAACTAAACCTAGTTGTACAAACAGGACTCAAAAGGACATTGCTTTCTCTATGCCTAGGATACTATCCAAATTTTGAAGGTTTCCTGAAGGAGATGTCTCAAATTTGAAGGAGAAAAGGAGCCAGGGGAAAATTACTATACCTTCTGGCAGTAGAAGCATTTTGTGCAGTGGCATGGAGGCATGAAAAACTTAAGATATGTTAGGAAAATAAAAATAGTGTGAACTGCTGGAACACAGGTATATGAAATGTGGCTGGGGGTGAGGCTAAGAGGAAAGCTGAAATGATGGGAGGTCTATGTGCCAAATGAAAGAACTTGTAGATATTCTGGAAAATATGGGAAGCGTTATGCTATTGTGTATCATGAACAATTTCATCAACAGTTTGAAAGATGAATTATAGGTAGGAGACAGGTTAAAAAGCTATTAGAGCTATCCTGATGAGAAATTAGAATCTGAACTAAGAAAGTAGATGTGAAACAGAGTAAGGAATGGATTCAAGAAACATGATACTACCACCAACCAGTCTTCATGAAGGAATGAATGTGGGAGATGAGAGAAAGAATTTATTCCTAACCATGAACATATAATCTGGGGCACTAAGTAATGAAATTAACTGAGAAAGCAAAAAAGAATGAAGTTTAGAAAGTACATGAAGAACTGTTTGGGATGTGGAACTTAAAGTGCCTATGAGAAGCATAGAGAATTCAGAATAAAGATGGAAGTTTGAGTCACTGTAATAGGCAGGTGCTAGTTAAAACCATGAATTTGAATTGAATAACCCAGGGATTATGTACAGAGTGAAAAGAGAAACAGAACCTAGGCTGAATAAAGATAAACTTAAAAGCAAAATAACTAAATAATATAAATAAAAAGTAGGTAGAGACAAAATCACCAACCTTCAAGGGTGTTGTATCTTAATTTATTATAGATGATCATATTAAATCTTACTCAAATAGTTGTGTAAAATTCTCTAACATAGGTTCTAACAAAAAAATGTCTATTTTACATTGATAGGACTACTTCTACATTTTCTAATGTACCAGATATACTGCTTTTAATAAATAAACTCTATACCGAATGGTATAAAGGAAATAGTGTATGATAGTTACTCCAGCATAATCTTTGGAGGCCCAACAGACCCTATGTACAAAATAGCAACAAGATTGATAAAGGCTAAAATTTATGGTAAATTAAAATATAAAAGTATTATTTTAAAAATATAAAAATAAAAATATAAATTAAGATTAATTAATGCTCCAAAGAGATAACCTTTTCTATATGCTTGCCTAAACTCCTAGGCACCTAATTCCCTTATCTGTACAACAGGGATCAAAAGTGACAGAATTCAGAAATTCAAAGAGTCACAAGTATACATAAGCAAGTTCTCCTACCATTCTGAGGGCAATGAAGAATGAGGTTCCCTTCCGTGTCCTGAGTCAAAGTCACAGAGTTCACAGTTTCTACCGTTACTGTGTCAGAATCCTCTTCAACTGTGCTCATACTCAAATCTGTATAATAGAGTCCAGATTAGGGATTTTAAAAAACTGCCTTTCACAAACTTATATCCATTATTTAGAATTAGATGTAATAATCTGCAAGAATCTCACTGCTCTGACAAATTTTTAAAACTTACAGCATTTAGAATACTTTTTAAAAAGAAGTGTTTTTACCACATTGAATGAAAGAGAATCTTTGAAGTTCTTTGTCATATCAGCAAAACTCTCACCAATTTTTATGATTTTTTTTTTCCTTTAGACACATGGTCTTGCTCTCTTGCCCAGGCTGGAGTGCAGTGGTGCAATCATAGCTTACTGCAGCCTTGAATTCCTGGGGTCAAGCCATCCTTCTACCTTAGCCTCTCAAATAACTAGGACTACAGGTGTGCGCCACCATGCCAGACTAATTTCTTTATTTTTTTTGTGGATACGTGGTCTTGCTACGTTGCCTATGCTGGTCTCAAACTCCAGGCCTCAGGTGATCTTCTTGCCTCGGCTTCCCAAAATTCTGGGATTACTGGCCTGATTATGTATTTACTGGCAGTTTTGTAGGTGTTTAACCTTTGCTACTTTAGCAGAAGATTCAACAAAACTTTGTCTTTATCTAAGAATTAATTTTTCCAAAACACTTCTTATAGGTATTTAAGCTCTATTGTCTGAAAAATAGGAACATTAAGTAATTCTTACTATTTTTTTCCCATAATATTAAACAAGTGCATAAAATCCATCATCAACCAAATTGCTTTTCTAATAGATACGGCATTAGGCCTTCTTTTGAAATAGAAAACTCTTGTTGAAAGTGACTTCACTTGCTATTCTACACAAATTATCATTTTTCTCTTGTTCAGACAAACTGAATGATTAGAGTCACAGAACACAATGGTTGGCAGAAGGAAATGTATTTGGATTGTAATCACTGGCATAGTCTCCAGAATCACCTTATAATGTTCAATGAGGTACTTGCGTCACTCTTGGTCTAGTACACATTTTCAACTCATCACTCAGTATTTATTTGGCTCTTCTTTTGTTTTTTTAAAGAGATAGATAGGTTGTCACTATGTTCCCAGGATGGAGTGCAATAGCTATTTACTACACTATAGCCTTGAACTCCTGAGCTCAAGTGATCTTCCTGCCTCCTGCCTCCTCCCAAGTAGGTGGCCTACAGACACAGGCTACCATGAGTGGATCTATTTGACTCTTATACATATTAGTCCATTCATATATTTATCACCAAAGTGAATGTATTTTCCTTTGGCAAGCAAACCCAAATATATTAACATCCACATGTTGAAGATCCAATTATTCATTAAAATATTTTACTACACAAATTACTGTTTGAAAAGGACATCATTTTACACTGGAAATGATGCTAGTTCCAAAATAAAGATAAATGGAAACCATGATCCAGTTCTGACTAAAATTTGCAAATCATGAGATAAGGTCCTTGCGACAAAGGCAGGCTTACCTAGACAACGGATGGATCAGCTATAGCCCTTCCCACAGAATCAAGTCGCCTTCCCTTGGCCACCGGCATCACTTTCATGTTATCCAGATTGTTTCTCCCCCATGTTCCTATCTCTGCAACAGTCTGAAAAAGTTAACAGCATTACCCAATAAGACTTAATAAGAACAAGCAATTGCATACTAGCGGTATGCTGATGACCCTCTAGCCTCAAAAGCTTCTGTGATGTCTCAAACCAGAAGATTAAGACAAAACCACAATTCTTTTCTGGTAGACCTTTTGGAAACCAGCCTCTAAAAGTATTCCTCAATGAAGAAAGGACAGAAATGATGAGATTTTGTACCTACTAAGTAAGTTCATAGGCAGTGCCTCAACCCAAGTTGCCTTCTCAGGAAGGCAAACATTCTCTGGGGAAAAAAAGGTTCAGCTATGCTAGTGAGTCTACAGACTTTGGTACCAGTATATAACATGACCTGGTGGGTTTATCAACCAATACAGTACCATAAATATGACCAGTAACTACAGTTTTTCTTTATAATGATTTATTAACCCCTCTATATTTCATCTTAAAGCATTAGAAATTATATAGTATCTATTCATTCAGAAACCATTTTTAAGATGACAGGTGAATGACCCTATTGGGGAGAAATCTGTGGAAAAAGGAAAAGATAAGTTATAAGTAAGCTTTTGAATGCAATGTGAAACCTTAAGAAATCTGAAATGGTTTTAAAACGTTTCTTTCAACAGGCTTCTCATCTCTATCCCCAAAGGCCTACCAAGAATTTTAAAAACACAGGATTTGAGGTTCAAGGGGGGATGTTTCAGCAAAAATTCAGGATTAAAAATCCCATTCTAATCAGAACTCCTCTCCAGGATGGTTATATTTTAGAATAACGAATTAGCAGAGGAAGAGTATAGATACTGCTAGAGAAACCTCCACTCAGCTATTAGATTTCAAGTTGCTCTTATTTCTGAATCCATTAAATTGTTTTTTATAGCTGGTTTGTTAGGAATACCTATTGTAAAAGATAGAGAAAAAAACGGTTGTTTTTTTTTTTTTTTTTTTGAGACAGAGTCTCACTTGTTGCCCAGGCTAGAGTGAGTGCCGTGGCGTCAGCCTAGCTTACAGCAACCTCAAACTCCTGGGATCAAGCGATCCTCCTGCCTCAGCCTCCCGAGTAGCTGGGACTACAGGCATGCGCCACCATGCCCGGCTAATTTTTTCTATATATTAGTTGGCCAATTAATTTCTTTCTATTTATAGTAGAGACGAGGTCTCGCTCTTGCTCAGGCTGGTTTCGAACTCCTGACCTTGAGCAATCCGCCCGTCTCGGCCTCCCAGAGAGCTAGGATTACAGGCGTGAGCCACCACGCCCGGCCTAAAAAACTGTTTTTTTTAAAAAAAAAGGTTAAAATCATCCATAAACTTTCTAAAATAAGTTATCATACTCTTTGATATAGCTACTTCCAACCTTATCCCTTGATGTTTGTGGGTATATGCAATTGTATATGGAATTTTATGTCCTGTTTAGCGTTCACTCACATTGAAAAGTGTGAAGAAAACCAAAGTAGGCATTTGACAAGTTTTTTTTTTATCACTTAAAACGTATGCTGCATAAAAACTGTAAGATACTAGACTATAAAGACAATGGGGCAGCTTCTGTTTACTGCTTGTTTGCTAACTGCAAGGCATTACGAGTGCATTATGAGATGCAAAAGAGAAAGACAAAGAACGCAGAAACCAGAGTCTCTCAGCTAGGACCCGGAACAGGTTAGAGCCTATCAGCAGGATAAAGTAAAAATCACTGTAGGAGCGAATGCATAATCAGTATGTTAACAACTTAGCTATAAAAGGGCCACTAGCACACAAAGGGGGGGGGGGTGTCCCTGCCCAAAGAAGGCCACTGTGCTGGCACTCTGGGGGCTGGCACTCTGGGGGCTCGGACCTTAGCTCAAGCTAGACAATAAAACTCCTTTTAATAATTACAGCCTCAGTGACTCTGTCTCTCTGTCCTGTGGCCCTGCAAATCTCAAATATAACAAAACATGTGATGTTATTTTAATAATTCCCCCATCACTGGACACTTACGTTGTTCCCAACTTATTTTTATTTTATTCTCTTGAGACAAGAGTTTCGCTTTATCACCCTGGCTAGAATGCAGTGGGCGTCATCATAGCTCACTGCAACCTCAAAGTCCTGGGCTCAAGTGATCCTCCTGCCTCAGGAGTAGCTGGCACTACAGGTATCCACCACCATGCCTGACTAATCTATTTTTTCTTGTAGAGATGGGGTCTCGCTCTTGCTCAGGCTAGTCTCAAACTCCTGGCCTCAAGCGATCCTCCCGCCTATGTCTCCCAGAGTGCTAGGATTACAGGCATGAGCCACTGTGCCTGGCCTGTTCCCAACTTTTAATTTCCTCAAACCACATTGAAGCAAACATATTTCTATACAATCTAGCTCCTTAAACATTAATAAAAAATTTTTATATCAACGGATATGCATAATTTAGGATTTTTCAATCATACTGCAATCTATTTTCTAAAAGAAAGTTACACAAATTTGTATTCCAACCACTGGGGTATAAACTCTATTCCTAGTACCTAGGAACCTTGCCGTGTGTGTTATTCAAAGCAAAAACAACTGCTCATTTGCTAGGTGCAGAATGATTACTGGTTTAGCATTTTAACGAATATCATCTCAGGAACCAAGTTAATCCAAAACCTTGGGAAAAAGAAATCAGGGAATCTTAGTTCCTTTTTTTTAAAGTTCTGCAACTCTGGTTAAAGATTAGTAATTGATTCTAAGCTGCTTTATAAGTTAGCAAGCTTTTTTGTTCAATCAATATATATCACATGTCTTCTACATGCTGGCACTGGGGATACAGTGGCCACTATTTTTTTACCCTGTCATCTTAAATGTTTTGATTCACATTTTCCACCTGTAGTTAGAGCTAATCAGTAATATTTTAATATTTAAGAAATTGACCTAATTTTCTTTTTATTACATTTTTTAAATCTAGTTTTACTTTTAATAGGTAACACCTTTTCACAGTTCAAAATTTAAAAGGTAATGGTAGTTGTACAGTGAAGTTTACTTCCCACTCTAGGCCCCACTCCGTCCCCTCCCTGGAGATAAATGATGTTATCAAATTCTTGGGCTTCCTTACAATTATTGTATGCATATATAAGCCAATATATCTATATATCCTTCTGCTATACTTTTTACCTAAATAGTATACTATCAACACTGAACTATACATTAATGGCTACTTTACAATGCCTCATCAGCAAAATGATGAGACACCACTCCAAATATGCAAATCAGCCAATGAACTTAACAACAAAGTCCCTAAGTCCTAAGAAGGGACTGATTTGGCCTGTTGGAGAAAGAAAAGGCAGCTAGTATGGTTGAAGCTGGAGACAGACAAGGGCAGATAATGTAAGACCTTGAAAATCCTTGGAAGGTTTCTAAGCTAAGGAATATGATTTTTAACAGATCATTCAGACCACAGTATGAAGAATGTATGAGGGAGTAAATGATGAAAACATGTTGTCCAAGAGATGGCTGTAGTTTGGAAAGGTGGCAACAATGAAAGACTTGAGGCTAGACAGAGTTTATATATTTTGGAGGCAGGGTCAACAGGACTTGCTGAATGAAGAGATGATGGAGATTAACAGAAGGGGCACTATCTCAAGATGATTACTAGGCTTTTGTTTTGAATAATTAAGTTTTGAGGCACTTAAATCTAAAGGTATTTTATTAAATATTTTTATTAATAATTTAACTGAAGATATAAGGCATCCAAATGAAGACATCAAGTTGATAGTTGAATATATACACTGGAGTTCGACAGGCCAGGATCAAACCTATAAATTTGAGTTAGTGGCATGCAAATTGTTAGATTACTTAGTGAGGTTAGAGAAGATAGCCTAGATTCCAGTTCTAGAGCTCTCTATTACATTTGGGAAGTCATGCAAACGAGACTGAGAAGGACCAGCCAGTGATATAGGAGGAAAACCAAAAGGTGTTAACTAAGAAGCACAAAACTGTTTTTCCAATAAGCATTAATTAGTCAAATGTATTGAATACTGCTGAAGAGGATGATAGAGAAGTGACTTCGAGCTGACAACAAAAAGAACAATTGGTGTCTGTATTTAATGAAGGTAGTTTTGGTGGAGTAATAGGGGCAGAAGCCCTACTGGAATATGTAGAGAACTAGAAGACAAGCTACACACAACTTTTTCACAAAGTTTAGCTCTGAAGTAGAATGAGAGGATCAAGTGGGGTCAAAACAGTTGTTATTATATAGAAGAATATGTCCATCCATATTCTGATGTTAGACTGAGAAATGCTGGTGAATATACCAACTTACGATAGCCTGGTAACAAGTTAAGCAATTTGGTGCCTTTATCCCAATTCATTATACATGAAACAATGCTTAACGTCTGGCACCCTCCTCAATTTTGTTTACCAGGAAAATATATCATGAAGCTCTCCAACTCTACCATCAATTTTTGGGAGCAAGATAAACAGTCATGTGCCACATAATGACATTTCAGGCCAACAATGGGCCTGTATATGACAGTGGTCCAATCAGATGATACCATATTTTTACTTTACCTTTTCTATATTTAGATATTTAGATACACAAATACTTACCATTGTGTTACCTACAGCATGCTGTATGGTTTTTGTTAAGTACACATTATGATGCTTGCATAACATAATCACCTAAAAGGCATTTCTCAGAACATAGAGATGCCATTAAGTGATGCATGATTGCACACCACCTCAGTCCTTTTCAATTTTCCCTTCTCCCTTTGTAATGGGTTACACTATATGCACTATTTTTACACTAACTAGAAGTGAGATAGAATGAAGGAAAGAAAAATAAAATATTAACAGCCATTTTAGCTGGTAAAGTAGCATTTTGGCATGTTTCCATCATTTGTTGGATATCTTCATATCAATAATAACCTAATAAATAATAACCTAATAAATTTAAGGAAAACATATCTGAGGGCAGTGGTGAATCTGAATACAGTGAAGGAGACCATAGATGGACTTTCTGCCTGAGATTTCAAGAATTTTGAACACTGGCTTAGATGTGGAAACTTTTGTCAATTTGTGTAAAACTTAGTGAACAAGGAACTAACCCAGAAGCATTATCATCAATTATTAGGGAGTTTCACAAGACTACTGAAATACTAAAGGCTGCTGAAAGTATGGCAAGTTTTCTGGAGAAATCCTAACGAGATTTATCAAGCTGTGCAAGAGGATTTGAAGATTGCCTTGTAGTCAAGAATGCACAAGGAAATTACTGCATGCAGCAGTGTAGAAAAATTGTATTTTAAATGAATTATAAAAACGTAGCTTTATAAATCAGTGGAGAATGGCTTACAGAGAGAACAATCAGACGTGTCCATATTGCATTTTACTTAACAGCCCTAACACTTTGACATTGCTATGTTCATATTTATGTATTCCTTACTTACAGCTCAGATAGCTTTAGTTTTCTAAGCAGTCTATCAGCTGTGCACATCTCCTGTGCCTGGTACAGCAAAAGCCATCAGTAGTGATATGTGGTAGTTATGACTTACTGACATTTCCATTTTAAACTTTAATTTTGAATTGTTTATGCATAACTAGATTTGTTGTATTGGGCTGAAAGTTGACAGGATTTCAGCCACCATTGTGAATTTTGATTTAGATTATGTATATCAGAATCTTGTTTTTTAAAGAGCATGAAAATATTTCTTATAATGAGCTCTTTAACAAAAAGTTTTTTCAAGTTTGTCATGCATTAATAGCGTGAACCAGATCACTTTTGTATTAAGTGAAAAAGTTTTAGAAACTTACATTTTAATCGTAACGACTCTGCTTAGCTGAGTATTACTTGTATGTAGTTTGAATCATTTAAATGTGAGGAAAATACTAGATGACAATGTTTTTCTAAGTTTTATATCCTATAAATGAGGGCCTAAAAATAATGTATAAAATGAAACAGCCAATGTGCAAAATTCCTGTATACTTTTATTATATAAAAGTAATTTGAGTGTTTACCTAATAAATCTTCAGTGGTTATGTTTCAACAGCTATTCAACATTTTATGAAGAAGTTCCAGTCATTAAAAACTAAATAATCAAATGTTCTATATTAAGAATTATTAAGTATAGCTTCCTAAAATCATTATTTTAGAGTTTTTGCAGACAAACTGAAGTGGTTTTAGTAAGACTTAGTAATATTAATATTTAAATAGCAACCTGCTCCGCTTTTAAAAAAATCTAGGCTTGTGACCATTTTAAAAAAAATGCATGGCATCTCTACCAAGTACACTGGAAGTTCTATAATTAGCGTAACAGGTTGAGATACAGTAAGAGCTTGTGATAAGCCAATTGATTAAAACACTGCAAATACTATATTGTTATTTATAAAATCATAAAGAACGCTTTTAGTCAAACTCCAAACTTTGTACATGTTCTAGGCGATCAAAGTTGATAGATTTATAACTCTGGATTATTTACATATGAAACAAAGCAGGAATACATTGAGAAAGGATTATATCTACAGAGGACTTCTTTTAATGCATTACATTTCTTAAGTACAAACATGTATTTTTTATGCATGCTTAATACTTAAGAAACCAAACAAAATGATACAATTACAGTGCTGTACATGTTGTCAATGACAAAAACCATTCTGAAGGTAAAAAAAACTCTGGAATGTGTTATAAAACACTTATAATGGAGTTCTTATATATCTTTATGTTTAATTGAGAAGTATATTTTTCATTTAAAGCTCCCAATGAACAAGATGACTTTAATATACAATAACCTGGTTGAACAAAAAGGGGTAAGTATAAAGTAGTAACTCTTGGGTCTGTTATTTAACATAATTAAAGAAATGAGTCATTCACACTACTCTTCATGCCAGCATTGATGATAAGTTCATATACAATGGGTTATCTTAGACCCAGTAATTCCATCAACTGAGTCTACCTGTCCTAACTTTCTGGGCAATTAAGTGTCAAGTATCTTCTAAAAACTAGAGTCAACCAAGGAAAGAAGTCACATTTCTTCCTGGTTTTGGAGGCCAATTGTGTAAATAGATTTGTTATCGGTTCCCAGCGCAGTACAAGCATAGAAGAGAAGATGCTATTAGTGGCAATCATGAAAAGCACAGGAAGCCAACAACTGCTGATTGTAAATGCTTGGAGTTGATTCTAAATTGGAAGATGGGATGACTATTTGGTATGAAAATCATTCACTATTGTAAGATACTCTTACAATGGGAAATTTAGCAAGCTATAGAACATACAGGACTGCAATTTTATTGGGTAAGTCAAAAGACTGAGAAATACTGGCTGAGAGGCAAAGTCTCTGGCATAATTCAACTAGTAAGGCAGTAAGGAACACATTTAGTTTTAAGATGTCTTTTCCCCCCTACAGCATAAGAAAAATTATCCATATTCTATTGTTTTTGCAATTAACTTCTAAATTTTTTATCTATGTACCAACATACCTTTTACTGTTTTTACAATATCGAGATCATACTGTTACATCTTTTTTGCACTTATCTAGTATTTTCCAGTATCATTCTTTATTCTCCATTTTTAATGGATATGTAGATCTAAATTTATCAATTGTTAACTATTACTGAACAGTAACTATTACTGAACACTTGTTTTTGAGGTTATGCTATCATAAAAGCTCCATAATGACAACTACCATACCTGTCATTGTATATAATTAATACCTTAGGAAATACTTAGAAGGGGATTTACTTAGTACTGTATAATAAAGAATCTGAAAGATGTTTCAAGATATTTTTATTTTGAAAGAATGAAACTTTTTGCTAAATAGATAATTTTAGTGTTAAGATAATGAGTAACAAATTCCTAAATCCTAAACACTAAGTACACAGAGGATGTCAGACAACAGACATGGCCACAGAATAAGCATAACATCTTCACAAGTACCAATTTTACTCAAAATAGGAATAGTTCACACTTGAGGCAGAATGTTTTGGACTATGGTCCCAGGCTCCTCGGGATTTGCTCCTCTGTATACTATTTGTGGGAAAATCTGAGTAGAGCCATAAATGAACATAAAGTATACTGAATTAAGATAACTAATTAATGTTCATTATGTCTTGGTTTTAAGATGATAAAATATGACTGTGCACCATAAAATGTCAATAAAGCAAGTTAATAGAGTCTATTCTAATACACTTTAATTGCTTAAAATGTTGACTTCAATTATCAACTACTGAAAACAATGTCATTATTTCAGTAAAGAGAATTACTTGGTAATATAGGGTATTTTAAGGTGCAGTATTTCATACTTGGTTTAGCAATAAAATTATACTGCTATTAAAAAGTTATTTTCACTCAGCTGATGATTCAAGAGCTTATGTGTTTGGCTACACCAAGATTTCAATCATTCAAAAGTGAGCACTAAACTTTTAAGTAAGGCATCATCAAAAGCTCTTTAAAGGGAAACAAATTATCTCCATATACCTGATTTACACTGAAGTTACTTTTTAATGCACATTTCCTCAGCAGTTTCTAAAAAAGGCAGTCAATAAATCTAATGAGCATTTCTTCTGCTACATAACACCTGACCCTAAGTGAATGATTGCTTTGACCACAGGTGCTTAGAAGAAATGACCTGACAGTGTACATAATCAAAAAGACTCATTTAGAAAATGGAATGACATAAAAAAGAAATTAAATCATACACAGCTTTCCAGTGTGCTTTTTCTTGACAAATTCTGGTATTCAGTCATGGAACAGGCTATCTTTTCACAAACTTGAAAAAATAGACATGATCAAAGGTTCCCCCTTTTATTTAAACTTATATTTTACCTTTACAGAATCCAACCACACACAAAATCTATTTGTGATTTCTATCACAAGAATTCTCACAAAACAAAAATATCATCAAGACAAAGGGAGAAATGACACGAAAGCAAATGCCACATGCGTTTGTTTGATAACTATCGGTATTTTATATTTAACACTTGGCAATCAGTTAAAAAAATCAGTTTTTTAAACCATTAATAAATATTAGGGTCTGTAGATATTGGAAAGATAAATGAAGTTAACAGAAAAGGTCAGCATTATGGGGGGAAGGTAAGGGATAGTTTGTTATTTAAATTCTAACTAGTGGTCTCTAACCTTGTAAATACACTTATCCCTGGGCCTTTAAGGCACCCTTGGGGTGGAATGAGATAACCATCTTTCTCATCTAAGGAAAAAAAGCACCTGGAAAAAGAGGACATAAAATAAAAACGACTGAAGAGGACACCTAGCAATTTTTGATGATTCTCTACAAGCAACCATTTCCCAGCAATGCTCTGCTTTCAAAGCTCAAATCTTAACTCCAAAACTTAGTGATTTCTTCTTCTCAAAATACTGCTAATAAAACCTCAATACTCAGAGAAAAATGTCTCTATAGCATAGTCACATAACTGGTAAAAGTATGAACTTAAAGTTCTATGAAGTATGCAATGCCCAGTACTTACTGATTAAATGTTGATGAAGACAGGGCAATAGCATTTTGGCTCCAACATCTAGCTCAACTGCAATCAATTAAAGAGATTCACGCAGAATATGCAGGTTCTAAATCAGTCCCAAAAAGCATATTTTGGGGTGAGCCTATCAACTAAAATAGTAAAAAAAAAAAAAAAAAATTAGCTTGTCTGGTGGCACACAGAAGTTATCTAGTATATAGGGAGTTAAATGAGATAAAAATCATCACAAATCATGAAATATATTTTTCTTCATAATTGTAATAAATAATGTTTTATTCAGACACTATCAGACACACTTCCATTTGTGTTTATAAATGGAAGAAAAAAACCTTAATTCTCACACCAAACTGTATTCTCCCAGCATGACAATCTTTGTAGTGTTATGGAATGTAATTTTAATCGTTTAGTTTTTCCTAAAATTTAATTTCTGAATCTTAACCAAATACATGAAATCTTACCTTTACTAAACCATCTCAGTAAAAAGCTAAGATTTTGGTTTATCACCACAGTCGGAGTCTTTAAATGTTAAAGTAGTGGTAAATTATTCAAATTACTAACATAATTAAAATACACTAATCCTCAAAGTTATCGGAAACAAATTTAAGACCAGCTTAAAAAAATCTGAAGTAATGAAAAATATGAAAATCTTTAACTGAAAATGAAAGATGGATTTTATGTTTGTAAAACTTTCAACATAGTGGAAAAATATTCTTACTTGGACTGGAGCTTCAAAGCTACAACTGGTTGTCTACCACGAATTAAAAATATAGGTATAATAAAAAGGTTTCCAAATGGCATTATTTTAAACTTAAAGACACGGTAATATTAGCAATTCCACAGAATATGCATTTTGTAGGACGTCCCAACAAGCAATCTCGCCTGTCAGGGAGCACACACACAAAAGAAATCGAGTTCTTGTAAAATTTTTTTAAAAAGAGGTAAAGATGAATCAAGTTGCGAGAAAAGCAAATTCAATCAGGGAAAGGACGGGATCCTGACTTACACTTCACAGGATTATCATCCTTTCCTTATCCACAGCGAAAATTTTTATAAAAACATATGCTATACCGTTCACAGAACAGCACTTGGCCACTTCTCTCAGTCCTACTCCGGAGACCGGGGTAAAACAGATTACACACCTCCCTGAAGAGATTCTCAAAACAAAGTACATTTTAAACAACAAAGCAGATTTAACAAGTTAAGAAACTTGCTCGGGACTCGGCACAGTACGGGAACTGCTACTTTGCAGACGCATTTTCTCTGTTCCGCTAGGACTCTCCCCGCACCCAGTCCACGTCCCTGCTTCTTTAAAGGGACTCAGGCTGACAGAAACGGTTCGGCCAGAAATCCCGATTCTCTCTGCCTGGGCTGTGAATTGCTGAGGAAGGGCAAGCGCAAAAAGACCGGAGAAGAGTCTTAAGACGCAAACAAGGTAAAAAAAGAAAAAAAAGAAGAAAAAAAAAAAACGCGCGGGGGAGTGGGGGGGGTGGATACGGAGTTAGAGCGAGACCCGCCCCCACTCTCTCAACCCCACCCAAGCCCACCTCTCCTTCGCTGGACAACACAACAAAACCAGAAAGGATAACAAAAAAAAAATTACAAAACAACACTACGAGAAAACAAGTAAGGCTTCCTTACTGTCCCCACTCCCCAGCCCAATTCTCTACCAAAGCTCCCGGCCCACCCCACCCCCAGGGGTCCCGGCGCCATTTAGTTCCTCCGAAGCCGGCGCCATTTTCCGCCCCCGCCGGATCGCTGCTGTGCCTCGGCGGCCGCTCGCTCCCCTGCTCTGCAGCTTGAGCCACCGCCGCCGCCCGGCCCTGAGAGGGAGGCCCTGGCCTGAACGTGCGGGGACTACAGCTTCAGCGTCAGGAAGGCCCGGCTCCGACCCCGCCCGCGGTGCCCAGGCGCCGGCAGCTTGCGCCAGCCGGCGGGAGCTAGCGGGCAGCAAGGGGGCCGGACAGGCTCCACTGGGCGGAGCGGCCCTGGCGGCGGTTGGGACCTGAAGGTTCCATCGTACTTACTTCCTGTTTTGGGTCCGGGCACTTTGGAAGAACCAGGATGGAGGCTCCAAAAAATACCAGGATGGAGGAAGCAGCCACGGGCGAGAGTGGCTGCAGCTGGAGTGAGCGAGCGCGACGAGCCACCGGAAACGGAGCTGCGCCCGCGCCCCGCCCCCAATCCTCCCCCCCGCACGCTCCCCCTCCCGCCCGACTCTCCTGCTGGGCGGCCCTGCGCTCCGCCTGCTTGCGTCACTTCCGTCTGTGTCGGCACGCGGAAAAAGGTCCCGGGTTGCTGCAGCTAGTGTCTTGTTCCTTGTAGTGGTGGCTGTCCCTTGCACTTCTCTCTTTCTGCTAGGGAATCTTGAAACTGACTATCTCGCTGCTATTGCCATAATGGAAGCCCTTCTCCTTTTGTGCAGCTGTGGTCCCACCGGCCCTGGGAAGTCTTAGGCTCTGCGGGCTGATATTCGTAGTTCCGTGTGGCTCTGCTTGGAGGGAGCCGCGGTTTGGAATGGGTATAGTGTGGCTCTGAGTGCACAAGAGAATAGCGAGTGTATTCGTACTTGGGTTACCTTACCAAAGACACTTAAAATGAGGTGCTACCTCTTCAGCCATGTGAAGCAGTTCTTGGTGAGATGTGTCCTCTGTGATTTCGCTGTTAAACTAGGAAGGTGCATCTTGTGCATATCTCTTAGAGTACAGCCGCTCCTCGAGTTAGGCTGCGACTGGGGCTCCACCAAACCCATCCTGAGTCAAAAATGCATTTAATACCCCGATAAACGAAAGGGCTAAATAAGCCTTTGTATTTGAACAATGTGAGGCAGCAGTCTTTCAGTGCTTAGGTGTCACTAAGTGCTTTATATGTCTTAAACTCTAATGTTCATAAGTGCCAAATGCATCACTACAGTTGTAAATGTGTCCAAGCGCACACGACAAATAAATGCTGGAGTCAGAATTGAAGCCTCAGTTCCAGAGCCTGTGTTATGAACTTACCTGCTGTAGCTCACAAGATACTCCTTGGCAGTAGTCTTATAATGAAAACAAATGATTACAACCAGTTTGCAGATTTTTTTATTTTACTGGAGGTCGGACATGTTTGACCAATTTTCATAAATAAATGTCAGAAGCAGCCTTTTACTGTCTTTGGTAACTTTATTACCAATTTGTGGTATTCTCTGCATTCTGTTGAAGTTGTGGCTGTGGCATATATCATTCCATTTTCTAATGAGCATATAATAATGTTTATGTATAGACATTAGAGTTAGACCTGAGTGTGAATATTGTCTCCATTGCTTAATAGTGGATGTAGCGCTTCACCTGTCCAAGCTTCATTTACCTTAGGAAAATGAAAGTAATAAGATTTACCTTCCAAAGTAATGTAAACCACATACTTTGCACAAAGCCTGACATATATAGTAAGCATTAAAGATAGAAACTAATAAACCTATGAACCAGAAAAGCAATAAAACTACTTACAGAACAGTTCTAATGAAATAATTACATATGCAAAATTGTTGACATTAACTTTTATGAGAAGGTGGTCCTTAATTAGCCACATTTTTCATGAAGCATAACCATATAGGATTCTTTTCACTAAGGCATAAAATGGTGCTAGCTAAATTATAGTCTGGGTGCCTCGTCTCTTCTGCAAAATCTTAGGTCAGCTTGCACTCTGCTGTTAACTCTGTTAAAACAGTCCAGGGTATCCTTGTAATAAAATTCTTCCTTACTAGGTGAGTTCCTTTTCCCGAGGTCAGTTGGTATGTACTTGGGAAGACAAGTGTATTTTTATACTAGCTTACTATTAAATACATAACTTAAAAAATCTATTATCATAATTAGCTTGAATAATCAATGTACAGACTATCCATAACACAATTTGTCTCCTAGAGCAACTTTCTGCAGTTAGGTTATCCCTACCTCACTACTTAGTCAATGTATACCTAGAGAATGCATGAGATTTTAAATATTATCCTAGGATGTACTTAATTAGGAATTAAATGTTTTGTGGAAAAATCACAATAAATATTTCTGTTTCTTTTTTTCCCTTAGAGGGGCACCTGGATATGAGAAATATTTCTATCCCAAACAGTAGTTATTGTATTGTAAATGTATTTATAGCATAGTTATGATATTTACTGCAGTTGCTAGTTATAGTGTACTCTGTTGGATGCCAGATTTTTTATAACAGTTTCATGAGCCTCATCAGTGATTGGATGTTGATGAAATTGCCTTTCTGTTATGAAAGGTTGATATATTGATATGAAGGTGTCTCAAATACTGAGAAGTGGGTTCTGTTTCATGATCATCTCATGCACTATGTGAAATAATTCAGAAAAAGATATACGTTTGTAAAGACTTGTTCAGAGTGAAAGAAAAGTACAGTTACTGATTAATTTTCCTTCTGTAGTCTCTGAGTCCTGTTAATACAGCTGATGGGTCTCCACTGGAACTTCCAGAACTTCTGGAAAGCTGATGGGGATTCCCATGCTAATAGAGGCATGAACAAACTGGCCTAGTTAGGCCTACACACCAGACTTTTGCAGGTGGTCTTCTGTCTCAGATTCTTCTTGTAGACTTTCCTCTGGGCCTTATGGCACTTCATATTTTAACCCTTTTCCTGCCCTCTATGCTGTGTCTCTTCACACTTGTTTTAATACCTCCACCTGGTCACCACTTTTCCATACCCTCTTCTTTTTCTTTTGCACTAGATCTTTTACTGAGACCTATAAATGGATGAGTAACAAAAATCGGTTACTGTTCCAATTAGAGGAATGGGGAGCTAAGGCTTCCGATAACTCCCTGTCAGTGAAGATAACAAGTTTTCATTCTGTCCTTGTAATTCTGTGTGCAAAACAAAACAGTTCAGTTACATTACTAAATTGGGAGAACATCTGGACCTGACTCAAAGACCAGTTCCTTTATAGTCTAGCTCAAAAGAGAGAGGGGCAATATATTAGTAAACTGATTCATAATTGCCACTTTTTATAAGTTCTAAGAAAGATACAAATTGGGTGTTCTGAAAGTCTGAAAGTGAACTTTATATAGGGAGTTCAGAGTAGGCCTTTCTGAGAAGATATTTAAGCAGAGACTAGAAAGATGAGAGAAATAACCATAGTAGGGAGTGGAAGGTGGGCATTAGTTCAGCTAGTGCAAGAAAGAACATATTTGCAGCAAGCAGCTGGCCTATATAATATTTATAAAATGGTGAAAGCACAGCACTGGCAAGTGGTAGGTTAAATCCCTTGCAAATGTTCACTGAATTAAAAAAAATTATTGTGATAAGAACACTTAACATGAGATTTATCATCATAATTTTTAAGTGTACAATACATTATTGTTGACTATAGGAACAATGTTATGCAGCAGGTCTCTAGAGCTTTTTCATCTCACTTGAAACTTTCTGCCTGTTGATTAGTAACTACCCATCACCTCTCCACGTAGTCCCTGGTAACCACCATTTTACTCTTTGATTCTATAAATTTGACTCTTTTAGATACTTCATATAAGTGGAATCATGTAGTATTTGTTTTTCTGTGACTGGCTTAGTTTACTTAGCATAAGTTCCTCAAGGTTCACCCATGTTGTCACATATTGCAGAATTTCTGTCTTTTTTAAGGCTAAATATATTCCTACTCCTATAAGAGTGGAGCTCAGCATATTCCCAGATAAAACAGAGATGGGTTATCCGTCACCTCTTCCATGTCATAGATTTGGCTTGCTAGCATATGACATAGTACCTTAAGTTAGTAGACACTTAAATGTTTGTTGATATCAAAGATAATTAAGTATTTTAAGCCAGAAGATCTGAAAGCTACCCATTTCTATTCTTTTGCAATAGCTACTGACTAAGGAGAGTGCAGTCTTTTTCCAGATGGTGTCACTATTTGGACAATTCTGGAATAAAACGTCACCTTTTATTATTCTTCAAGTGGAAGGAGGTTATTTTAACACAATGTCACATGTTTGTTGTTACTCCAACTTTATTGCCCAAATCTTGTCCATCTAAATGCAATGCAATATTTTAAGGATAGAAGCATGTCATTTTAACCAGCAGATGTCACTATTGTTCATCAAGATCTTTTTTTTTTTTTTCTTTCCAGAGTAGTATTTTCAGCAGTAGATGGAAAATTGGGAGCTTGAATTACTAATGATATGCTATGGTAAACCAAGGACAAGCCTCAACAATAATATAACTAAAGAGATGGGGATTATGGTTTGAAATCTAAATATAGAATAGCTCTCTAGTTTAAAGATTTATTGTAGATTAATCCCCTTCCCTTCTATTCAATGTGCATTTAATTTCCCTATGGAGAATATGCAGTGACAGAGGAACAAGGAACCCCTGCAAGCTTTGTAACTTTCAGGAGTTTGCACATTTGTGATACACTCATTCTTTCACTTTTTTCTGCATATCTTCCTGAGCACCTACTTTGGACTGAACATTATTTTAGGCACAGGAAACATGGTGAAGAACAAGACAGACAAGATCCTTGCCCTTAAGGAACATATATTTTAGTGGAGGAGTTTGCATTATAGTAGTATTTTTAATGCATCTTTGTACCAAACATTTTTGGTTGAAGTACCAACTGCCGGCAACTGTCCATAATTCTTGTTCATAATTAATAACTTAATGAGGGATGAAGACAAAATATGAATCAGATCACTTGGTATCATCAGATTAAGCTAAATTGCAAATATTAGGAAAGGTGGACCAATATCCATTGCTCTTACTTACTCAAAGAACTTTGAACAGTGTCTGGCAAATAGTAAGCACTCTAAAGTGTTAGATATTATTAATTTTTACCCATAACAACAAAGACTGAATAACAGGAAAAGAGAACTGTTATTTTTTGACAGTTTTATGGGATTTGTGGGATTATTAGGGGAACAATCCTAAGAAGGTTGGGTTATCAGATATTTCTTTACTATATTAAGATATATTAAAATAACAATAGGCAGTTTATCTCTAGATACCTTTTTAACTTATTTTAAGCTACATGGTGGTTTATTGCTGATGAGTATGGAAGTGGATTGTTATAAATTCCAATTAAAAATGTTTTTTTGGTTCTTCCTGGAAATTTCCCTGTTTTCATGTTGCTAGGCAAAGTGTTTTAGTATTAAATAAAGAGATATGGCTTCTTGCTTGAGGAATCTCCTTCTACTGAGGTTCACTGGATATCCCT